GCTATGTGGCCCAAAATTATTTGGGCTAGATTTTCAAATGTTGTCTTGAATTTTGTCCTCCATGGAGCCAGCAAAAACAGAGTATGAAAGTAAAGTCATTACTATCTAGAGAACCAAGAACGCACAGCATTAAACTAGGAAACATGTTAAGTCTCTGGGAGGAGCTTGGACTTCAACGTCCTCCTGAATCTTTAGGAGTCAAATTCTGACTACAGATGTTTTCAATTTTTGCTGCATTTTTCTCATTATACTAACAATTGAGATCATTCTGTATCTCCAGCTGCCTTTCATTATAACATCTACCTCATAACAGTTTCAACTGCTGGGAAAATTGTTCACATTACCATTACAGTTCTACTTTCTCTACTTATTACCATGTGAATCTCCAATTTTTATTTCACATATGTGCAGACCAATTTCTTGCAAATTGATGGTATTTAACCATAAATACATTTATTCATGTGCGTTTGGTATGTATCTCTTAAATTGTGCTGAATCATATTCTTTGATAAAAGTAAATATAATCTTCAGAGTTTTTAAAATTACAAGATAGTCACACAATAAGACATTAATGTGAATTCAATATTACTTGAGGTTTTTGTTTGTGGCATCAAAATAAAATCCAACATATACTTATAATCATAAATTATATGGAATTTTGCTGAATTAGTACAATTTTGTCTCCATAGTTCTGTAGGACTTTCACTGATGTTTTTACCTAATTTGATTTTCAACCAGAATTTTCATCTTCCACATTTCTTTCTGTTAGTTTTCTTGGTTTAATCATGAAACTATGAAAGTGAGAAGATTAATTACAGCCTCAGAAGTGACTTCAAACTTTCTTTTAAAAAGTTCAGCTACCTTTAAGAACCAAGGTTTCAGGATTCTGTAACTAAAAGATACTATTCCTAGTACATATGAAGCTCTTTTTCACTCTCAATTCCCCTTAAATAGCAATATGCCCCAGTGATCTATTCTTGGCTTTGTGCTTTTTTTTTTACAACCTTTGTGAGTGACTCCAATCACCTCCATAGCTCCAACAACTACTACATGTGGTCTAGCCTATTTTTAAGTATGATCCTGAGAGATTAAGTATAACTCTAAAGGAATATTCCAATATACACAGAACACCCAACCTAGCCTGCCCCTTCTCTATTTTCTGTGTCAGTAAATGTCATCACCTTCTTTGCAGCTACCTACATCAAAACATGAATAATCCTAAAATACTTGCATCCTCATCTTCTTACTCTTTCATTAGATTCTGTTGTATAAATAGCTCCCAAATGCAGCTCTCTTTTGTCTGCACTGACATTGACTTTTCATTCTCTGCTTTTCCCCCCAAACATTGTTCTAATTAATCAGTTTTTAATTCATTCACATTAAAATTTCTTCCTAAGTATTGCTGACAAGGTGATCGTTCAAACTTTCAATTCCACAAGTCTTACATGCTTAAAACAATTATTTTAAAGCAAAAATTTTGTTGATATTTTTTGGTGGTTCAGATTTTGTTCAAAGGGATTGGCCTGCATGCAAATTCAACATCATTGGCTCATGCACAGAATTTGTAAATTATCCACCAATGTCGACCACAAACATTTTCTCACTGATTTCTGGGGCCCCTCTAGAGGGGATGGTTTCACTTTCAGCTGATAACCACAGTTTCCTAAATTAGGGATGTTTTAATGCATTTCATAAAACCAACTATCAATAGCAAACAAACAAAAAAAAGAAACAATGTATGCATATGTGAATAAATGAACAAAAATAAATAAATAATAAAAAGATAGTGTGTGTTTTGTATTTTTCAGGATGGCAAGAGTGACAGGTGACATGTTCAGATTTTTATTTCAAATTGGCCACTGCAGCTACCAATAAAGGAGTCAGAGGAGGACAAGAGTGGATCCTTGAAAATCTGTTGGAAGGCTAGTCTTCTAACAGAGCCCAGTGAGAGAAAACAATTATGTGAACTAGGATAGTGGCAGGGGAAATAAAAAGGAGGACATGGCCTTTAAAAAATGGGGGGGAGGAATTGAAAATATTTAGCAATGCCCTGACTCTGGCATGATGAGAGAGAAAAAATTGACAAGAATGACTCTTGGGTTTCTACCCTGCCTAATGGATAGATGATATGACCCTTGAGAGAGATAAGGATCACAGAATATAAACATTCTTTGAGATAGAAATATCGTGAATTTGTTTTTGAACATACAGAGGTATACATACCTCTGAAACCCAAATGCAGATGGAGAGTTAAACAATTAAGCAAGAATTTTTCTGGCTCCAAGGGGAGGTATGAGATGGGTACATATTTTTGAAGCTATTGACTTAGAGATATTGAGTAAAGCCATGAGCATGGGTAAGGTCAGGTGATGACAGTGTATTGAGTGTGAATACTTTGACAGAATAATACTGACCTCAAGGGAATACCAATACCCAACACTTAAATAAATGGAGAAGTGATGCATTGACAAAGGAAGCTGAAAAGAAATGAACCAGCATGTTTTATTTAAAAAAAAATTTAAAAATTTGCTGGCATGCCCCATGCTATACAGGTATTTGGGTTGTTGTCGAATCATTTCTTGGTTGCCATTGTTGGACCTCAGTCTCCAAACTGACTTTTAAGGGATTATTTTGAGTACATCTTGCAGTGTTAATAATTTCAAAGAAAAAAAGTTGTCTTGAGATACTCATTCATAGTGGGATAGAGATTTTAAATGTGACCACTACAATAACTGATTTTTTCTTTTTTTCTATTTTTTGCACATGGTTCCTGAAATATAAAAGTTTTCTTGAAAAGGAACACCTTTTATAATTTCCCTGAATCTTTTGTAAATTTGGAACAAATATTGAACCTAGACAGAATTTATCAAATTGTATGTTATAACTTTTGGACTTTTTCAGCATTGTTTGTGCTCTCTTTGTTTTGGTGGTGGTGGTGGTGGTCGTGGTGGGGTTTTTTTGCTGATTTTCTTCATCCACATTAATTTGGAGAATTTTTATTTGTATTCTAATAAACTAGCTATAAATTAATGCCTCCATCCTTTGCAGATGTCAATTTTTTCACTTTTAATCATGTAGAGTGTGAGATTCCTATGAGATATGAGTGTAAAGAAGTTCTCTAGTCTAATGGAACTTACAGATGCAGAATGCAAGCAAAAATTTGAGGGCTTTGGAATGTCTGGAAAGCCTTTGATTTGTAGCATTCCTGAGCTCCAGATAAGAACTGATATTTCTGTAGTTGGAAATTATTAGCCTTTTCATTTAATAAAATCAACACATATTTCTGACCCACCTGTCTGAATTTGTACACCCTTTATAGACTGAACATGAAGAAAGTCTAAAAAAACTTGCAAACATTTTTAGCTATAAATGGTCAAATTCAAGCTGCAGAGCTCAAATAACAATCAAGTTGTGAAAAATAGTGTTGTGATATAAACATTGAAAATAAAACTGAAAACATTTAGGCTAAATTCATACGTGATACATTTCAGACATGTTTAATTATCACTTTATTCAACCCTGGAAAGTCTACTTCTTTAACTTTTTGTCAACAGCACTACCCTGAAATTTTTAAAGGCAAAGACTGTGATAATTATTGTCATGTTGCCTTTGTGGGTAATATCACAGAATGATTTTCTTTTGTAAGCTACTACATACATGACAGAAGGTGTTTGTTGTCTGTTTTTTCGAAAAGTGGTAAAAAAAAAATACCACAGCACCTTACTTTTCACTATTGGAAATTAAATGGATCTAATAAGTTCAAAGGAATTCCACAAAACAAAAAACACTGACAAGACAAAAGCGCGAATTTAATTTTATGCTTTGCAGAGATACATGACCAAAGTTGTGTGCATGGCTTGTTGCTTGAGATGGCCCCAGATATTTATTTTTTTTTAAATAAGAAATAACAATGGAGCCAACAAATGCAAGTAAGGAAAAAAAAATCTCTTAAGATACAAGGGGACCTACATGTTCTAGTTTAAGAAACATGCAAGTATTACAAAGCATTCTAGGTACAGTATGATGGAGGAACAGTGAGAATGCACTGGAACAATGCTCTTTCTTTCAGAAATGGGAAGTCTAACAGTTCTGTTTTCACAAATATTATTGATGAAACAATCTTTATTTTTAAAGAATTTCATAGAAAGAATTTTAGCACCATCATTAAAGGTAAAATAATACTTTTTAGCCCTGCCTGTCTCCAGTCTTGGAATAACAACAGAAGCATAGCACCTTTTAGTATCTAAAATACAAACAAGAATAGAAAGTCCATCCCAGCTTCTGGAGATGAGGTAGCTCATGCTAAGAAATGTAGGGTCATTTTTCTTATGAAAGTTCAAAGGCCAATGGTCTGATTCCAACTATCACATTTGGTTAGAGCCAGCTCCACATCTCTGGGTTTCTAGATCTTTTCTTCATTACAGGCTTCAAGATAATGAGATTGTGCAAGTGGAAGGTTCTCTCAACTTTGGATGTGTGCTTATAAATTTGTATGTGTAAGTTACTTTGCACTCAATGTTTCCTTAAAAAAATGAAAATGTATTAAATAGTATGCCTATGTCCTTTCTGTATGTATTGATTAACTGCGTCAAAGGGGAAATTCTGTTAAATTTGAACAGGAAATATATCAGCCTCTAAAAACTTGCAAAGAAGAAATTTCACTTTTTTGCTCCTGAAATTCCATTGACTATGCATTTTAAATTTTCACTTCAAACAGTGGGAAACTGTCATTTTTTAAGATTCTCTATGAAGAATCTCTATAATAATTATATAATATCAAGACATACATGTGGGTTTCAGCCACAAGGTTAAATATTTTGAGCTCACTTTTCATTGATAACCTGGGAATGAGAGATCACAAAAAAGCACTACTTGCTATTTTTCAAACTGTAGTCAAGCAAAATAAACATGTGTTGTGGTTTTACATACCCCATTCTTTAAGCTACCTGCAAGAAATAATTTCCTCTTAAATACTAAGCAACTTTTTCATTACATTGAAATAAATTGAAGAAAACAGATATTTATTTAATCAATTTACTTTTTTTATAAAGGTGGTCATTGTCATTGGTTACCTTAAACCTAAACTGCTGTATTGAAAAATATTTAAGTCAATTAAAATTTGAGGATTGTAAGTAAAATAAATATTCTGAAGGATGAGAAGGCCAGGCACTTCAGACCATATATACAGTGCTGATGTGTGATCAGCCGTTACTTCAAGAGTCTCAGGATCAACTTCAAACAGTCGAAGTTCTTGTGAATGGTGGTGGGCATCATTAATGGCGGTGCTCATTGTCGATGTTTCTGGGCTTGTGTTACATAAAACAAACTGGCCCAATTTCAATGCCAAATTCCTGGTCTGTGTTTCCGATATCCACAGGGGCAAGATCTATGATGGGCAAGCGTGCCACATTCTGTGTTCTGTATTCAAAGACAGTCTTGCCAACATTTCCATTTCGCTTCTGGAATTAAATGGTGCAATGGGTTAGTAGCATATAACATTTTTTAAAATAATGTTAGATAGAAACCTCCCCAGCCAAGTTTTATAATGTAAAAGCAATCATGTTTAGAACACTAGTTAAATATCAGAGCATTGGTAATGTGAAGTGAGGCACCAACATACATGCAGACATTTCTTTCTGAGTAAATTTCTTTTTTCTTTGGAAGCTTCCCAAATAACCAGTAACAACATAAATTATGAAAATTTTTGTTTTCTACAAAATAAACTACAGCTCATCATTCAATATTTTCCTTGCTTTAAAACTAGCATGCAAGTCAGTAATTCATTTTAGGTTTTTATGTACGAATTGAGATTTTGTATGTTAAATAAGCTGCAGAAGAGCCAAACAGTTGCAGAAGAGGTGGTCCAAGGATTCAGTTGTTTCTTTACTGTTTTTCATTAATGCTTCTACCATGCTTCATGCTGGTATATGTCATACATTAAAGTTTACCCTAAAGAACAATATAAACAAAATGCTTCTGTGCTTTTGTACAAGGTAAAAGTTCCCACACTTCTAGTGGCATGACAGTATTTTTAACAAAAATAAAAATTTTTTCAACTAGATCAATGTAGTTCGAAAAGTACTTACAGAGCAAGTATCTTGAAGAACTGTATATCTGAATCTAATGTTCCCCTCTCCTTTGATTTCTAAGTCATTTGACCCTTTAAGAACCACTGATTTCTTGAGGTTTTTAGATTGATCATCCATATATCCTATACTGTTTTTACAGATGTAAGTAATGTTCTGAGAAGCTTCTTTTGATAGAAGGCGCAAGAAAGTCATCTGAGTAATGGCTGTGTTAGGTGACTGGTAGTCTCCATAAGTAAACTAAAAAAGCAAACAGTATTTGTTATACACATAATGTCTCACAGATATAGATGATGATAGATAAATTGATTTTAGACAAATCTACTTGAAGAGTATTACTTTAATTCTTGTCATATAATAAGCTATTCTACCTATACATATAAAAATCTTAAAATTTCCATGCAGATGCACAGTTAAGAACCTGTTGTCCTTACTACCCTCAACAAAAGGTAATGAAATCAATAATAATGATAATTTTCCAGAGAAAGCTTAGATATTTTAAAGTATGTTTCAATCGTGTATCAAACATAACTTGTTTTTATCACTAGTTAGAATAAGAACTAGAAATTTAGCTGCTGTGATAAAATCATTTGACTCAACTCTTATATGTTTATAAGAAATATGAATTAAAAATTTTCCATTAAACAACACAAATTATCAAAAATAATTTCCCACATACTCTTTTTATTCATCTTCAACTTTGAATTTTATTTTAAAACACTCACATTTGAGTTTTCTACTTAATCTCATATTAATTGAATTACATTTCAACTATTTATGTTTAAATATTAAAATTGCCTGTTTGTTAAATATGGAAGGTTCTCACATATCTTGCACAGATCACATAATGTCCTGAATATGAGTCTGGGAAAAGGTTAGGAGAAGTGACAAGAAGTTTCAGACTTAAGCAGCCATAACAAGATCTAAGATGAAATATTCATGTTTTAATAGAAAGTAGCAAGAAAGAGTATGTACAGGTATGAAATACCATGGCAAAACCCCATTTAACAAAACAACCATTAAAAATGAAGGACAGGAAGGTAGGTCTTGTCTGGGGAAGGGTGGGTACCAGTGGAAGGGGGAGGATAAAGAGAGAATGTGAAGAAGGACAAATATTGTTGATGTACTTTGTATTTATGTATGAAACTAGAATGTTGAAATTGTTCTAAGAGGGGGAGGGGAGATGAGGGAGAATGATGGAGAAGTAAATCTTATTAAGATACATTATAAGCAAATATGTAAATGTCACAATGAAATCCCCCTACACAACTAATATATGCTAACATAAATGTAAAAACAAATTTAAAAAAGAATAAAATAATTAGGAAAAATTTAATGAAAAAAATGCAAGACTCACAAAAAAAGAAAGTAGCAAGACCTGGTGAGACTCTGAATACTAGACCATGATAGAAACATAAGGCCTACTGAAACTCAGAAAAATATTAATGTAATTCATGTAATTACAAAATGCCTTAAGTTTAAATAATGCTATAATGTTTACAAAATGACTCCATTGTTGAAAAATCATCACTTCCCATGTACTAAGCACTACACTAAGCACTGAAAATCACACGGGGATTCTGAGACCAACACTATCATCCCTGCTTCACAGAACTGAGGCTTTTGAAAGATTTGGTCTCCCTAAGGCCTAACATCAGTTAAAGATCCAGGTAAGAGTTACCCAGGTCTTCTGAAAATAAATATAATGACTGTCTTTCAACTGTGGCAAAACCCCTCAAGTGTACTCCATAGTCAGTGCCATATACATTATAGAAACAAACATTAAAAATAACTATTTTTCTAGTTCCATCAATAAGAAAAATATAACTCAAAAATATATGTTACTCTAACTCATAGTAAAACTATATGTAATGATATTATAATTGTAATTCATGAGAATATATCACTTAACATAAATACAGTAAAATAAACCTGGTAAAATTATGGCATAGTTCTAAATAAATATAAAGATATAGTAAATGAAAAGTAAAGAATATAATTTTGAGTAAACATATCAAATTACCTGAGATCCTCTATTCATATCAAGACCATACCAAACAGGCTTATTATCAGGAGATTTGCTGGCCCACCAGGTTTTACGGGGTACACTGGATGGGTTTGCTGAAATACACGTTTCTCCGGTTTCCATATTGCAGTAAACTTTGATTGCATCTTCAGCAGATCCCTGGTTAGGATCAATCCAGTATTCACCTATTTTCCAAAATTAAAATATTCACTAAAGTGAAGAGAATCTGAAACATGATTATGAGTCTCCAAAATAACTAACAGAGGTATTGAAAATATGAACTCCACAGATGTTCTCTTAAAGAGAGAATCCATTATGGAAAAAGTAACTATTAGGCACTGGGGGTCTTTCAGCATGCTAATCATTATCCTAAAGCACTTTGACAAACCATGTACTCAAGGCTCAAAACATCTATGTGTAGGAAATGCTGTTATCCCATTTTATAGAAAAGAAAACAATACCAAAAGGACATTGGTTTTGCCAAAATAGGTATGTTCCTATTAAACTTACAAAGCCAATGTTTTAAAGAAGGAAAGTGTAATTGGAATTTAACTAGGAATTATCAAAAATATGAGTAAAGTAAATAAATAAGTTGCATTACAATTAGAAGACCATTAATTATCTCTAAAAGTAATCTCATATATAAGAGATTTTGGAAGTAAGATATACCAGGACAGTAGTAGTTGGTGCTAGACATATAGTTAAATAAATTCACAAATATATTTTGTTCATATTTGTGTATCTATGTCTTTGTATATGAATATATGCAAATACATGAAAAAAATAAATAAAATGAAAGTAGTGAAAAGCAAAGCATTAAAGCATTAAGAATAAAATTGACTATTCTTCAAAGAGAACATTTTTGGCTACCCCATCAATATCTTTTTAAAGTTAATTGAAATTCTTAAACATTTCATAGCTCATTCCTATGGACTAGAATTCTTTTTGTTCAGGTCTTATTAAATCATTAAAAATGATATAATATGATACACATTAAGTATCAATCATGCAACTATGGCAGAAAGGGTATTATATTGCCAAATGCCTTAGAGCCTCACTATAACATGAGCCTGTCAGCAGAGATTCCAAACATGTGATTCATAGAACTTTAAGCTACATTAAGGGAATCCTAATATCTATATAAATTTGGGAAGTAATATATGCTTTATTTAGCTCTCAATGATGCAACAATAAATGTTCCCCTACTAAAAATTGAGATGTCAAGTTTTTTATGCCTAGTCATGCTTGAGCAAGCATTTTCTACATACCATCACCACAGAGGGCATTTGCTCCACAAAAGCTACCACTATTTTAGAACTTCTGGATGGAAACGGAATTAGACTAATAGAATATATCCTCTATTACGGTACAAGTCATCTTGCTCCATATTTTTCTCATATTTTCATGTCTGTGGCATGTTTACTACCTTATTTCTCATGTGTATCCCTAATTACAAAGTCAATAAAATATTTTAGGGTACAGTTGAGAATGACACAGTCAGAAACAGTACACTTTGTTCAAATAGGCCACTGTCTACTCACCACTCTGTTTTGTGGAATGGCAAAGTTTTAAGTCATCGCAAGTCCTAGCTGGGTGCTTTTTGGAGCCATCAGGGCTACGCATGGTCTCAATTTGACTACTGAGAGACTTCAGGGTAGCATGGACCCCTGGGTCAGTTTTGTTTGTATCATCAGGAGCTGCCTGGTCTTCAGTAAACTCTGGAAGTGGATCTGGCATGTTCTCATCATAGTGACCCATGATATCACCAAGAGCAGCCGTAAGGTGCCCAGGGGGACCTGGAGGGCCAGGTGGACCAGGCTCACCAGGAGGGCCCTAATTGAAAAGAAATTGAAAAGACTTTTAACACGTTGCTTTTAATTTTTTTTCTAAACTGGTAGTATGTAGTACATACACAATGTGACAGTCCAATTTGACAATCCCAGGAGATCTGTGACTCATGCTCTCTTGTAAACAGATAGAGCTGGTCTATTAAGCTACAGCATTCCAAGGATGAAAAGACATCCGTAACTGTTTTTAAGGCAAGATAAATGTTAGTCAGCATCTGAGATAAAGATGAAAGCACGAAATACTTGCTTTGGTGTGTACCTTGAAGATATAGTACATTTTATGTTAAGAACACTCACTTCCTGATTATCTTAGGCAAAGTACAACTAACATGTTCTAAAAGCAATTGTGGTTAGAGCTAGATGAGGTTAGAGCACTATAGTGGTGCTGCAGGTGCTGGTTCTATAAGGCTGCACATCAGTACTAAGGCAATGTCTATAAGGAACACACACAAAGAGCATTCCCCCACTTCTAAATCAAGGGGAAATATGCAATGTACATTTATGAACATGAATTACTGTGTACATAAAATTCTTCGTATAAACAAAATTGATGAATGTTTATGTTAGTCTTTTTATTGACTTAAAAACTCTTCTGCTCTTTTGCCAAATGAGAACTACTTGAATGAGAAGTAGATAAGCACAAAAAAGTGGCAGTTAAGTGGACTTCTCTATGAATCCCATCTGTAGGACCCAGCAATTTGGGATAGCCAGTTGACAACCTGAGCAGATACAGAATCCACTGGTGGAGTGGTTCAAGCAATAGAGCGCCTCCCTAGCAAGCATGAGGCCCTGAGTTCAAACTCCAGCACTGCCAAAAAAAAAAAAAAGAATCCATATTTCATGTAGAGTACAACACTGGGATTCAAAGACTGGAGTTCTCACATTGTACAGCTAATTGTTGAATGGCTTCAAAAAGTTGCTTTAACTCTCAATGACAATGCTTTCTCATTTTCAAAGGCAGATAGGTCATAGATGACAGATGATAGCGAGAGAGAGAGAGAGAGAAAGAGAGAGATGGAGAGAGAGAGAAAGACAGAGAAGTACTGAACCACAACAGAGAGTCAATCAAGAGCCACATAAGTCAAAGGTATTCTAATTCAGTAACTGTTTTTTATTCACAGAGAAGTAGCAATCTGTGACTCCCCTAATAGATGATAAACATTTGTTTCAATGGTTTTGCTTTTGATTAGCAAAGACAAAATAAGGAGGAGCTGATGAATAAGACCAAGGAAGCACCAGACAGGGAATCATAAGCTCATGCACACTAGTACTCACGGACAGGGAAGATTCAGAGACATATAATGTCTAAAAGTCTGAGAAGTTAGAGACTAGTGTAATTTATAACTTTGTATCATCCTCAGTTCCACAATTAGGATTTTTAATGAAAAGTTTTATTGAAATCCTGTCTGAAAGCTATTTTCAAGAGAAAACTACAATCTTGTATACCTCATTTTTGACCATTTCATGAAGTTTTCATAAAGTATGAACTACCTCTCACACAGATTATTTAGAGCATGGTCATTTAAAGCAAAGCAACATTTGCGTAATTTTAATTATAAATATAATCACAACTTGATATTTACTTTAAATCAAGGTATGTATTAATCAAGGTCTAAGATATTGGGCTCTGATTTTATAGACTGTAAATAATTCATATAACACATTTGAAATAGTTACTCATATAGACAAGCTCTTATAAGGCTTCTAGATTTGTTTTCAGAGTCCCTTAAGTCTCTTGTCCATCAAGATGCAGAGATATTATTGGATAGCAGCCACATGCTGACAACAACAGCATTCTTATGTGCAAACCCTCTGACTTTACCTCTGGTCCTGCTTCTCCTACACTGCCTCGCACACCAGGGGGTCCAATTGGTCCAAGTGGCCCAGGGTTTCCTTCTTTGCCTAGGGGACCAACTGGACCTGGAGGACCCTGAAAGAAAATAAGATTGTGTTTTAGATTCTTTGAAGAGAAATTTTACAATGCCTCTCTCTAGTCAAAGAACTATTTATTGTACAGATGGAGCTCTTAAAATGATTTCTTAGATTCATTTCCTTAATGACTATAAATAGTCTTCCAGCAGTTTAAAACACTTATAATCTCATTATACATGAATCATCCATTACCCATGCATGGTAAAGACCAAGATAAGTTAAAAACTATAATAATCACTTACTTTATTGGTAGTAATTGTTTCATCCAATCTCAAATAAATTCAGTTGGATAATCAATTAATTCAGAATAAGGAAATGACAGAAAGTTGAAGATTTTGTTATAAATGAATTTTGAGTGCTTATACCACAGACTCTCACATCATAGTAATTTTTTCTGCTTGACTTATTTACAACATATTTAGATACAGTGGATTTTTTCAAATTAATTTTCTAATTGTCTATAATTTCTTTTGTTTTCTACATAATTATGTATGTCAACTGTCTAATGACACTAATGACTTATTAGAGCCAGCTAGTATGAATGAAAAATTTCTAAATGCTTCCTATATTGGTTTCATTTTATGACTTACCCCCAAATTAGCCTTATATGGAAATATATATATATAGCTTCAAAATCCTAAAGAGTAAAAGCTTAATGAAATTTAAATTAACCCAAAGTGAGAAATTGAATAGATATGTATACAAATCCTAGGTAAGAGATTTTAATGTGGGTCCATATTTTAGCAAATGTCTTGTTTTAGGATATTTCTACTTTAAATGAATTGCTGAATGGTTTGTCATCATCAAAGGCACTATTATTTACATCTGAAATTTAGTAATTTTTGTTACTTACTCTTGGGCCAAATGGACCAGGGATACCAGCACTGCCTTGTTCACCATTTGGACCCTATACAGGAATAAATTTTAAAATGTTGCTAAAGTATTTCAAAATTGCATTGTGCTATCATCAGCTTTTTAAATATACTGCCACTGATTTGATCAGCATAAACTGTTAAGTCATCAGTCTCTACAATGTCTCCTTATGTTCACCAATACTAAAGATGTAGATTTTTGCTTTATTTCTTCCACACAAAATTATACCTTACATATAGGGCAATCATATTGGATAATTGGATAATTATTCCTCAAGATAATTTTGAAATTAAAATATGACATAAAAATATCCATCTATTTCAGGAATAGATAAATATTCATATCAATATACCCATGTATTCTGAAATGAAATGTAGAACAACACTTAAAATGTTATTAACTTACAGGAGGGCCTGGAAGACCCTGAAGACCAGTGAAGCCTCTGTGGCCCTTCTGACCTCGGTCTCCTCGGTCTCCATTATCACCTTTGTCACCTCGAGGTCCTTGGGGTCCCTAGAAGTAGAGTCATGACATGGATATTATTTCTTGAAACTACAGCTCACTGCAACTTTACTTTTTACAGTTGCACTTATTATAATTGTAAATGATGGATTTTATATGCATGAACATATTTATTTACATTAGACCTAGGAACTTTTGTCTATTTTTCTAAAGTAACAGCAGTAGGTTAGAGAAAACTCAGATTGATAATAATACTTCTCTAAAGATTCAGTTTTTATATTTATTTGTTTATTTATCTATTTATTAGGGATGCCGGGAATTGAAACAGGCCAGGCAAGTGGTCACTGAACCACATCCTAGCCCAAGATTCAGTTTTTTAAATGTTTATCCTATATTCATACTAAGATAAGATATTTTAAGTTTCAGCCAAATGATCTGAAAAGTTTACAAACTTTACATCTCTCCTCTTTAACTGGTATCATTAAGTAAGACTATTGCAGCCATAAATAAATTCTTTGAAATTAAAACCTAAAGTACTCTTTTGCTTTTCATGCTTTCTCTAAGTGTGAAATATTTGTTAAATTTGCATATGTGAATAAACTAATGGTATGTGATGGCTGGAAACATATTAAGAAACAAGCAAAAATTAAGTAAAAGAGCCTAGAATATCATCATTAAGCCACTCTCCTTTACAGAAAGTACAAATGGGATTGGGTGAGATGATACATGCCTATAATCCCAGGTACTCAGGTGCAGATCAAGAGGACTGCAGTTCGAGGCCAGCCTGGGCAAAAAGTTAAACACCACAACTCAATAAACAAGCCAGGTGTGGGGTTCAGGTCTGTAATTTCAGCTACCCAGGAGGTATACATAGGACAGCCACAGTCAGAGGTCAAATGCACAAAAAAGTACTAAATCCTATCTGAAAAATGACTGAAGCAAAAATAAAAAAGGGGCTGGGTGCATGGTTCAAGTGGTAGAGCATCTGCCTAGTAAGCAGGAGACCCTGAGTTCAAACACCAATACCACCAAAGGAAAAAAAAAAGACAAAAGAAAACAGAGAACCCCTATACAAATGTGTAATTCTGACCCAAAATCAAAGATAGTGTTCTTGAGGTTGAAGAATAAGTCATTGTGAGGAATCCTATTTTGAGAAAGAATGTGTACCCAGAAAAGAGGTGGAAATTATCCCACAGGTCTCAGGAATTTCATCAATTAATTATTCCTTGTTTTGTTTTAGGTCCTATGAAATAAAAACAGCTCCAAGGGATCAGCGGTTCACAGTATATGGAGAAGCTACTTCTATCTACCACAGGTCAAATTCTGTTTTCTTCATAATTTTTCTGAATGAGAACTGCACCCCTGTTAGTCTGACTTTGCAAGATGAATGAACTGCACCAACTCCACTTGTTCTTAAGTTAAAATTTTCCCTTTTAGATCTTTGTCTTTATTTTTTTGTTTTGTTTTTCCCCTTGGAGATTCCTAATTGTCAGATAATATAAGAACCTTTTTATAATATTAACAAAACTTGGCCAGGTGCCAGTGGCTCACGCCTATAATCATGAGGCAGAGATCAGGAGGATCTAGGTTCAAAGACAGCCCAGGCAAATAGTTCATGAGACCCTATCTCAAAAAAACACTTCACAAAAATGGGGCTCGTGGAGTGGCCCAAGGTGAAGGCCCTGAGATCAAGCTTCAGTACTGAAAAAAAAATTAGTTGGTAGTGTAGGTAAACTACCTGCCTAGTAAGTGCAAGGCTCTGAGTTCAGATCCCAGTAAAACAACATAACTTAAACGTCAAAATTAACTTAAATGTTTCAATATAAGAAAAGTTCTTATATTTTGAGGACACCCCATGGCCTTGACATTGATTTATGAGTATGAGAAACATGAGCTAATAGACTACCTATAGGAGACAAAGATAAAACAATAAAAAAAAATTTGTGTAAGAACTTATTAACCTGAAAGTGACTATAAATAGCAAAAAGATCAGAACAGAGGCAAGAAAATCCAGGTGAAAATAAAACATATTTGAATAGTTCTTTTCAAATTTATAAAGAGATTTTAAATTCATTTGCTTTGTAATATTTTAGGACAGCTCTGAAAGAAATGCACTGTTATCCTCAAATCCCCTCTTCTAGCTTTTTGAAATATATGGTACATTATGGCTATCAACAGCCACCATATTATGTAATATCAACTTGCTCCTATCCACCTAACTTAAAACACATTGATCAACCCTTGCTCATACATCTTAAGAAGCTTAAATCATACTTCTTTGAGAGTGTATTTTATGTCAAAAAACAAGACTTACAGGTAGACCACGTTTCCCAGCTCGACCAGGTGGTCCTATAGGACCTCGAGAACCCTAGAAAAAAACCCACACAAATTGGTATGTAAAGAAAGATATGCACATATTATATAGATGATGTTAAAAATGTGTTTAGAGTTGAGTGCATATGTGTCTGTGTGTATGCTTATGTATACTCTTATGGTTAAATCATTGAAATCTGGAGAATATTTGCTAACTCCAATAACACCTTTAAAGTCAATTATATTTATTTGCTTCATTGAATGAAGATCACTATAGTTTATTATGAAAAGATTAAGATCTTTGTGTCCATATTTAAAAGGCTTAAAAAGTATGCAAATTCATAGTTGAGCGTCTTATCATTCTTTGTTTAGAATCTACAACCTGAGATCCAAGATGATGACTGGGACACAGCCACAGACATCCTGAGCTCCATGATCCAGGGACTTTGCTAAGAAGCTGGAGACACACTTGGCTGAGGTAAAGCACCAGGGAGAGCTGAAACATCAGCACTCTGAACCCCCAGCTTGTGGAAGGCTTCTCCATGCCACGATATACTAAAGGAATAGCCAGTACTGCACACCAAGTCCCGCCCCATAGGCCCACAGAGCTGCTGTTCTGCAGGCCATGGGATCTCTGATCCATGGGCCCACTCCTCAGCCCCACCAGGGCTGCACTCCCCTAAACTCCCACCTCTCAGACCTACACTCCTCAGGCCTGGCAAGTCAGCAATCCACACACGCATGATCTCTGCCAGGCCATGCTCCTCAGGCCTGCACAGGCCTGCACAATCTCTGCTGGGAACATGCCCCTAAAGCCTACCAAGCCAGCAATCCACAGACACACATGATCTCCATTCCACCAGGCCCACGCCCTTCAGGTCCTCCAGGCCCATGCTCCAAAGGCCCACTAGTAGGCCCCGGGACCCCACCCACCTACCACCCACCACAGGAAGGCTCCAAACCTGCCTAAGAGACACACACAGACAGGTCTGGATGCTAAAGGAGTAACACCAGAACTACTAAGACAGCAATTTTTTTCTTTTTTTTTTTTCCCTTCTTTAAGTGTTTTGCTGTCTGGTTTGCTCTTTGATCACCTGCCATCTCATTTTTTTTCTTTTTTCCCCTCTCTTCTCTCTTCCTTTTATCTTTCCATCTTTTTCTCTTTTTTATCCTTCTCTCTTGGTTTTGTTAGTATTAATATTGTAAACCAGCTAATACTAAATTACACAAAGTCCAAGGATAGAAATGGGACTTAGTGGAAATATGCAAAGAAGAAAAAGGGATGGAAACCATTTCCCCCCAAAAAATAAAGTAGTAAAGGATTTAGAGCAAAATGAAGAAAATGGATACCCAGATCCAGACTCCAACAAAACAAAGAAAAATTGTACCAAGGAACCCAATGAAGCCCACAAGAACACTCTGAAAGAAGAAATCCTACAAGTAATTAATGAGAATTTCATAGAGATGTTACAAGACATGGTGAACCAAAACATACAGGAGGCACTCAAGAAATTCCAAGAAAATAAAATTAAAGAATATGAGAAAACACAGAAACAAATAAATGAAATCATAGGAACCCTAAATAAACACCAAACTGAAACAGAGATCACCATAAAAAGAGAGATAAAGAATTAAGGGCAAAAATTGACAATATTAAAGAAGAAGGAACCCACCATATTGAAAACCTAAAAAAAAGAATGAAACAGAAATACAAAACAAAATGGAAGGGCATTCCAGCAGAATAGAACAAACAGAAGACAGAATCTCAGAACTTGAAGATGAAATGGCAATTAAAGAAAAATTGAAGAACTATTAGTTAAACAACCAACACCTGCGAAAAGAAACTGCAAGAACTCACTGACTCCATCAAAAGACCAAACCTGAGAATCATGGGCCTTGAAGAAGGAGATGAGGTGCAAGCAAAAGGAATTCGTAATATATTCAACAAAATAATAACAGAAACTTTCCCAAATCTAGAGGAAACTATGCCCATTCAGATACAGGAAGCCTCCAGAACTCCAAACAGACCTGACCAAAATAAAACCACCCCACAACATATTATCATTAAAACAATAAGTACAGAGACTGGAGAAAGAATATTGAAGGCTGTAAGAGAGGAAAAAACAAATACAAACAAAACAAAACATACAAAAGTAACCCCATCAAAATTACAGCAGACTTCTCAACAGAAACATTAAAAGCAAGAAGCGCATGGAGTGAGGTCTTCCAAGCATTGAATGAAAATAACTTCAACCCTAGGATACTCTACCCAGCAAAACTATCATTGAAAATAGAAGGAACAATTAAAGTCTTCCATAATAAGCAGAAATTAAAACAACATATGATCACCAAGCCACCACTACAAAAGATTCTCCAAGGAATTTTGCACACAGACAATGAAAGCAAACAAAACCATGAAAGGTCAGGCAATACCAAACCACAGGAGAAGAAAAGGCAAGAAAGTAAAGAGTAACATTGATTCAGCTTCACACAATCAAACCCTCAAACAACAAAGACAACTAAATGACAGGGATCACCACATATTTATCAATACTAACACAGAATGTTAATAGACTAAATTCCCCCATCAAAAGACACAGATTGGCAAACTGGATTAAAAAGGAAGATCCAACGATCTGCTGCCTACAGGAGACCCACCTCATCAACAGAAATAAGCACTGGCTGAGAGTGAAAGACTAGGAGAAGATTTACCAAGCCAATGGTCCCCGAAAACAGTCAGGAGTAGCAATACTTATCTCGGACAAAGTAGACTTCAAACCTACATTGATCAAATGAGATAAAGAAGGACACTCCATACTAATAAAAGAGGAAATACACCAAAAGGAACCTGTATGCACCCAACATCAATGCACCCAATTTCATCAATCATACTCTGAAGGACCTAAACAAATACAAATTCAAACACAGTGGTAGTGGGAGACCTTAATACCCCCCATCACCAATAGATAGGTCATCCAAACAAAAAATCAATAAAGAAATCCTAGAACTAAATCACACCATAGATCAAATCACACCATAGACCCATCACCAATAGATAGGTCATCCAAACAAAAAATCAATAAAGAAATCCTAGAACTAAATCACACCATAGATCAAATGGACCTAGCTGATGTCTACAGAATACTTCATCCAACTTCTGCACAATACACATTCTTCTCAGCAGCCCATGGAACCTTCTCCAAAATTGATCATATCTTAGGGCACAAAGCAAGCCTCAGCAAATATAAGAAAATAGAAATAATCCCATGCATTCAACTAACCACAATGCATTAAAACTAGAAATCAACAACAAAAACAGCAGTAAAAAACATGCAAACAATTGGAAGCTGAACAACACATTGCTCAATGATGAATGGGTGATTGATGAAATAAAAGAGGAAATTAAAAGGTTCTTGGAAGTTAATGAAAATGAAAACACGACCTACCAGAACCTATGGGACACAGCAAAGGCAGTCCTAAGAGGAAAGTTTATAGCCATGAGTGCATATATTAAAAGGACAGAAAGATATCAAGTCAATGACCAAATACTACAGCTCAAACTCCTAGAAAAACAAGAACAAGCAAATCCCAAAACAAGCAGAAGGAAAGAAATAATTAAGGAAAGTAATAATTAAAATAAGAGCTGAAATCAATGAAATTGAAACAAAAAAAAACATAAAAAGAATCAATGAAACAAAAAGCTGGTTCTTTGAAAAAATAAATAAGATTGACAGACCCCCAGAAAACCTGACTAAAATGAGGAGAGAAAAAAACACAAATTAGTAAAATCAGAAGTGCAAAAGGGAGATAACAACAAACACCATGGAAACCCAGGAAATCATCAGAGACTACTTTGAGAGCCTAAACTAATAAATTTGAAAATCTTCAAGAAATGGACAGATTTCTAGAAACTTACAACCACCCAAAACTGAACCAGGAGGATATTAATCACCTGAATAGATCTATAACACAAAAAGAAATTGAAGCACTTATCAAGAGCCTCCCAAAAAAGAAAAGTCCAGGACCTGATGGATTCACTGCTGAATTCTATCAGACATCTAAAGAAGAACTAATACCAACTCTCCTTAAACTGTTCCATGAAATAGAAAGGGAAGGAACACTGCCTAACTAATTTTATGAAACCAGTATTACTCTCATCCCAAAACCAGACAAAGACACCACCAAAAAAGAGAACTACAAGCCAATTCCTTAATGAATATCGATCTAAAAATCCTTAATAAAATAATGGCAAACCAAATCCAACAACACATTGGAAAGATCATACACCATGACTAAGTTGGATTCATCCCAGGGATGCAGGGGTGATTCAACATATGCAAATCTATAAATGTAATACAGCACAAAAATAGAAGCAAATATAAAAACCATTTGATCATCTCAATAGATGCAGAAAAAGCCTTTGACAAAATCCAACACCATTTCATGATAAAAGCTCTAAGAAAACTAGGAATAGAAGGAATGTACCTCAACATTGTAAAGGCTGTATATGACAAACCTACAGCCAACATCATATTTAACGGTGAAAAACTGAAACTGTTCCCTTTAAAATCAGGAATGAGACAAGGGTGTTGACTATCCCCACTCCTATTCAACATAGTACTGGAATTTCTAGCCAGAGCAATTAGGCAAGAAGAAGAAATAAAAGAAACTGTCAAAATATCCTTATTTGAAGACAATATGATCCTATATCTTAAAGACCCAAAAAACTCTACCCAAAAACTCTTAGACACCACAAACAGCTATGGCAAGGTGGCAGGACACAAAATCAACTTACAAAAATCATTAGCTTTTCTACACATCAATAATAAACAAACTGAGAAAGAATATATTCAATTCCATTTATAACAGCCTCAAAAAAATCAAATACCTAGGAGTAAACTTAACAAAGGATGTGAATGACCTCTACCAGGAGAACTACAAACTCCTGAAGAAAGAGATCAAGGAAGACTACAGCAGGTAGAAAGATCTCCCATGCTCATGGATCAATTGAATCAACATAGTAAAAATGGCTATACTACCAAAAGCAATCTACATGTTTAATGCAATTCCCATCAAAATCCCAATGACTTTAATCACAGAGATTGAAAAATCTACCCTGAAATTCATTTGGAAACACAAAAGACTGCGAATAGCCAAGGCAATACTCAGCAAAAAGAGCAATACTGGCAGTATCACAATACCCATCTTCAAACTATATTACAAAGCAATAGCAATAAAAACAGCATGGTACTGGCATAAAAACAGACATGAAGACCAGCGGAGCAGAATAGAGGACCCGGATATGAATCCATACAACTATACCCACCTCATTTTTGACAAAGGTGCCAAAAATATAAGATGGAGAAAAGATAACCTCTTCAACAAATGTTGCTGGGAAAAGTGGTTACCCATTTGCAAGAAACTGAAACTAGATCCATGTCTATCACCCTGTACTAGTATCAACTCAAATGGATCAAGGACCTAAATACCAGACCTGAAACTCTGAAGTTACTACAGGAAGGAGCAGGAAACACATAGGTATAGGTAAAGACTTCCTCAATAGATCTCCAGCAGCCCAGCAACTAAAGAAAGGATGAATAAATGGGACTTCATAAAATTAAAAAGCTTCTGCACAACAAAAGAAATGGTGTCTAAACTGAAGAGACCACCCACAGAGTAGAAGAAAATATTTGACAGCTATACATCAGACAAAGGACTGATAAACAGAATATACAGGGAACTTAAAAAACTAAACTCTCCTAAAATCAATCAACCAATTAAGAAATGGCCAACTGAACTAAACAGAACTTTCTCAAAAAAAGAAATTCAAATGGCCAAAGAACATATGAAAAAATGCTCACCATCTCTAACCAAAAAGGAAATGCAAATCAAAACCACACTAAGATTCCACCTCACCCCTGTTAGAATAGCCATCATCAAAAACACCACCAACAACATGTGTTGGCAAGGATGTGGGGAAAAAGGAACCTTAGTTCACTGTTGGTGGGAATGCAAGCTGGTGCAACTTCTCTGGAAAAATATTTGGAGACTTCTAAAAATCTAAATATAGACCTGCCATATGATCCAGCAATCACACTCCTGGGGATATACCCAAAGGAATGTGACTCAGGTTACTCCAGAGGCACCTGCACACCCATGTTTATTGCAGCACTATTCACAATAGCCAAGTTATGGAAACAACCAAGATGCCCCACTACTGATGAATGGATCAAGAAAATGTGGTACTTGTACACAATGGAATTTTACTCAGCCATGAAGAAGAATGAAATCTTATCATTTGCAGGTAAATGGATGGAACTGGAGAACATCATTCTGAGTGAGGTCAGCCAGGCTCAGAAGACCAAAAATCGTATGTTCTCCTTCATATGCAGACTTTAGATCTAGGGCAAATGCAGCAATGTGATTGGACTTGGATCACATGACAAGGGGAGAGCACGTATGGGAGATATAGGAATAGGTAGGAGACCCAGAGCATGAAAGCATTTGATGTCCCCACTCCAGAGGAACTAATACAGAAACCTTAAAGCAACAGAGGTTAACATGAGCAGGATATCAGGAACCAATGTAAAGATCAGTTAGAGATGAATCAACTTGGGTCGCAAAACATGGGTACACGAAAGCAATGTTAGGAATCTCTCTGTATAGCTATCCTTAACTCAACTAGCAAAAACACTGTCTTCCTTATTATGCTTGTGTCTTTTCTTCAACAAAATTAGTGATAAGGGCAGAACAGGACCTGCCTGGAACTGGGGAGGGGAGCGGGGGAGAGGGTGGGGGATGGGGGCAGGGGGGAGAAATGATCCAAGCAATGTATGCACATGTGGATAAATGAGTAAGAAAAATGAATCTACAACCTAGTTAGTGTACATGCACAATGATGAGCATGCAGGCGTGTGGTTTATAGTGTAGTATATTGTCATGTGCAGCTGTCTGTGTGATTGGTTCCCTTCTTACCGGATCTCCCCTTTGTCCTGCATCTCCTGGTGCGCCCACAGGCCCAGGAGTTCCAGGGGCACCCTGAGAGCCCGGCAGACCTGCAGGCCCAGGGTCTCCACGGTCACCCTGGCAAGAATAGTAACAATATTATTCTTTTAACACTTATTCTACAGCAATAGTCTATGTATTCATGTTAGATTCACAATATTAAAAACCTTTTGAAACATTTTAACTCTTGCTGTACTTAAATATTTTACTTATATTTATTCATTAGTAAATCGAATTGAAGAGAATAAGATCCTTTCTCCTGAGTCTCAGATCTCATTCCTCCTTCATCTCCACCCTGTTGCTCCCACAGTCAGGATTACTGAAGTATAGTAATCTTTCCTAGAAAGAAGTCTCCAAACTGGTGAGTCTATACACTTGAAGAACCTAAATTGGCAACTCCAAAGTTTTGGGGAAAAAATAGATTTAATGCACATATGCATTTAGAACTTATCAAGAATTAATTCCATTAAAACTATGTAAACTGAGATTTAAAGGATATGAGGCAGCAGCTCAAAATATGTATTTCCAAATTCTTTTCATGAGGCACAACTTTGAAGACTACTGCACTACATATATACCTAGCAAAGAGAAAATCCCCAGACACCACGAGAATTCACAGCTCTTAGATTATGATAAATGAGAGAAGTCTTACACCAAGATCCCCACAAATTGTTCCCCCCCTTTCTCATAGTTTGAGGTGTTCTTGAATGTCTACCATGTACTAGGGATGATAAAAATACATAATGCTACAGGTATTAATCATGTCTAAAGTATTTGAAAACTTAAGTTGAAAAACATTGCTCGAGATCACATAGCTAGTTTCTTAGGGGATCAAAGTTCCAAATCAGAATTGTCTGGTCCCAAGTCCTTCCTTAAAATGGAAAATCCAATATATCATGACAGACTTTGGAGTGGTTTTTGTCTTCAGTGCCCTGACATGGAGTCTAAGACAACTGTGCAACTGCCAAAAGGAGCTGGGGAGATTTTCAGTTTAGCATGTGTCTGATTTAAAAACATACAAGAGAACATGATATGTTTAGAAAACAACATGGTTTATATTCTCATGAGACATTCAGTTTAGGGGTATGAGTAGAGACATTTATTCACCCAGCTCTATTTGAACCTTTATGAAATTTAGAATACTCCATCTCTATCCTCATCCAAAGTCTTTATGCTGCACCAAAGATGAAAGCAATTTGCTTTGCTGCTCTTCCTGAAAAATGCTGTCAAGCTGTTCCATTTATAATATCATTCCATTTATAAGATTCTCCAATTGTGGCCTTACAAAAAGGTTGTTTGGGGTCGGACCCAGGGATACACTTCTGTAATCCCAGAAAATTGGGAGGTGGAAACAGAAGAATCACAGCTCAAACCAGCCCAGACAGTTAACACAAGATCCTATCTGAAAAACCAAAAGAACTGGGATGTGTCTCAAGAGGTGGAGCAAGTGCCTACCAAGAACAAGGCTCTGATTCCAATCCCTAGTACCAAAATAAAATTAAATAAAGTTGTTACTATCAGAAAAAAGTCAGAGCTGCATTTGAGCTATGGGTATAAAGGGTAGATTTTTTTAATGTAATACTAAAATTGTAAGGACTTCAGATTCACGTAGGTCTAGATTTCTTATAATCAGTGACATTGCTCTTACACGTTCTCCAACAGCCCCATCCCGTCCTGGAGTACCATCATTACCAGCTGGGCCCTATAAAAGAATAATATTTGAAAAAATGATTGAGTAGTTTTTCAAAACTTCATTAAAATTGTCAGAAAAGTGATAGTGTGTTTTACACCTCTCTACTTCCACCTTAAATTAATACTTTTAGAAATCTCAGTAGAAGAATGAATGTTACCATTTTTCCTGTTATTCTCAATTTTTTAAAAAAAATTAGCATATCCTTAGTTAATCTAAACTGTTTGCTCCTGGATCTTATTTTTTAAGAAAAGAAAAATCCACAAAGGCCTTGAAATAAATAGGCAACAATTACATTGTGGTCATTTTATATTTTGTCTGGGTTACCAAGAAAGGAGCTGCTTTCACTTTTACTTCTTTCACTTTCTCCAAATAATATTAAGGTTTTAAAAATCAAATAACTGTTTTTAGATTTTTAAATAGCTTTTTAAAATGTAAATATAATTTTTAATTTTATAATTTAAAAAATATCTCTGAAATCATTAATTCCTTTAAGAATATGTGATTGGTTATTCACTCATTAAAGTGTTGTACAGGGAATTTTCCAACCTTTAACTTCTCAAATTGCCTGTCAAAAACTGATTTCTTCTCAACAGAGCCTAAAGGAACATAACATCTATAATGCTGCTTTATAATGAGACTTAAGTAAAATGTTCTCTATTTGCTTTGCTCTTCTTACAAGCTCTGATAGTTATATTAATCCTATCACCATAAAACTTGGCAATTTTGATAAATATCCCATCTCAGAATAAAATAATAGCAAAGGAAAAGGTGAGTTGATATGTCCTTTAACCTTCAAAATCCTTTGGCAAAAGCTAAATCAGCTGAAATGCTTAGCTCCAGACTAGGTGAAAGTCAGTTCAAGGACACTGATTTGCTCTTTATATATATAAAATAATTCAGCCAACTTTCTGGGGAAGTAGAGTACATTAAATAGCATCATTAAAAAACATCCTTAAGGTCATATGTGCAATCAGTTTCTAAATTTCTAAGTCAATTTCTAACTGAAAGTATTGGCAACAAAGAAGATTTATTTTCACTGCAGCACTTACTTCTGGTCCAGGTTCTCCCACGGGACCATTTGAGCCAGGGGGTCCCACAGGTCCAGGTGGACCTTTATCTCCTGTTGCTCCAGTTGGTCCAACTTTTCCTGGTGTGCCCTGAAATTGAAGTAGATATGTTAACCACTTCTGAAAAAATTTAAGAATCCCAGCTACCATAAAGGCTACATTTGTTCAAATGGTGCTTCAGTCACCTCCTCCTATAGCAATAATTTTTCATTATTCTACACCATCCATGCCTGCTTAGAAGCATACTCACTTCTTCTCACATTCCTCTTGGCATACCAAAAGGACCAAAAGCCATCCTTCACCACCAGTTCAAATGTGCATTTTGGGTTTGAATCACATATAGTCATCAATTCTGGCTGCCCTTCTGGAATCCATATCACTACTAAGACATATGCATCCTTTATCATTCCTTCTTTGTCTGCTCATTCTCCTTGTGTATTCTGATACTTTAGTCTTACTACTGAGGAGTTTTACTTTCCAGTCCTTGACTATTCTGATAACACTAAGATATCACTTAACTCCTAATTTGCTGGTTTGGGATTTCTACCCAGGGGTCTCTCCAGTTCTAAGATTCTAGGAGCACATCTCTCTGTCTACATTCCATATAAAAATCATTATTTTTTCCTCAGGTATTATAAACATTCAGTGGGAAGTGTAGTCTCTCCAAAGCTAACATTAAATTCAACTTTCATCTGTACTCCAAAGAAGATGAGATTCTTAAGCACCCCAGGGAATAGGAGGTTACCCTCAGAGTCCTTCTTTACAGTTCACCCCTAATATTACTTTAACTCAAATATTTCTTCCCTTTGATGATTTGCTGTGAAAAATGGGTGTTTTTGTTAAACATGTTTATTTTCAAAGATTATCCTTGTTTTCTAGCTCTGTGGATCTTTTCAATCTTTGAACAAAGATTAAAAGTTACCAAAAATTTCAATCAAGTTTGCCTACTTCTCTAGCCCCAGGGTTAAACAATATGATTTTCAAAGACTTTGAAAGATAGTTAAGCATTGACATTTAAATTAAAAAGGTTTTTAAGGCTTTCAGGGTTTATGTCAACTCATGACTACTTAAATCTATTTATTAGGCAAAAGAATGAATTCTCTCTGCACAAATTATATTGCATATATGAGAGGAAGTTTTAACCAACATAGCTAGCTACTCACCGCTGGGCCTGGCAGGCCAGGCATGCCTCGCTCTCCACGTTGCCCAGGCATGCCCACAATCCCTCTTTGCCCAGTAGTTCCAGCAGGACCTGGGGGGCCATCTGGACCCTAATGTTGATGATAAACAATAATTACTAATTCTACAGAGTAAAACCATATCCAAGGAACTTATAATAGATTGATTATAGCATTACTGGTTTTACAGTATAAAAAGTGTTCCCTATTTTACAAAACTGTGCTCTCTCTCTCTCTCTCTTTATATGCATTCAGTCAGAGACTGTATAAGTATATACATATATATGTTTATATATGTATGCATATATATATGTATGTACATATATATGCATATATGTATACAGTCATGTATGTATACAGTCATAAATAAATTATTATAATTCACATACAGCCTCTAACATTAAAGATGGAAAACAGTACATCAGTTGGAAAGGAAATTGAGGAATAATATTATGAATATTGAGGCAGAGGTAAATCCCTAAATATTTTCCTTCTTTAAAAAAGAAAAAGAAATTTACGTGGGGTACCAGTGGCTCATGCCTGTAATCCTATCTATTTGGGAAACTTAGATTGGAAGGATCACAGTTTTAAGCTAGCCCAGACAAAAAATTACTGCAAAACCACATCTCAACAGAAAAAAAGCTGGGCATTGTGGCACATGCCTGCCATCCCAGAGATGGAGTGAAATGTAAAATAGGAGGATCACAGTCCAGTGCAAAAGCAAGACCCTATGTTTAAATTAACCAGAACAAAAATGGCTCAAGTGGTAGAACACCTTCTTCACAAGCACAAAGTTTTGAGTTCAAACCCTAGTACTTCTAAAAAAATTAAAAAGTAAAGAAATAGTATCTATCTAAACATAAAGTACTTGGATACCAAATACATGTTTAACAGTCTTCATATATAATAAACATTTCATTTTTAAAAAACATGTCCATTACTTTTTAAAATGTTAATACATATACTTTTTATAGTAGAAAATGTTAAATTAAAAATCTTCAGGATATAATGGGTTTAGGTATGTGTCCAGGACAGTATTTTAACTGTGGGGCAGTGATGATTATGGGTTTTTCTTTCAATTATCTCAACTGGAGATGATATAAAACAGACACCAAACTTACAGGTTGCCCATCTTCTCCTGGGTCTCCTTTGTCTCCTGGGCCACCAGGTGGGCCAGCTGGTCCTCTATCTCCCACTCGTCCATGAGAGCCAGGATCCCCACGAAGACCTGGAGGTCCCTCCTTCCCAGGCTCCCCTATGGGTCCTGCAGGTCCTGGAGCTCCCTGGTGTAACATAGAAAGGGACACCAAGGAGGAAATAATTGAAGCCAAGTAAGAGAGGTTGACATATCAGGCCCTGCCTCAGATACAGATGACCAAGACTTGCAGGTTCATTTTTGGTGTTAGTCAGTCATTAAGTAGATATAAACAACCCAAACATAGCTATAGATTCATTCCCCAGACAAAAATCTAAATTCCATGTTCAGATCATTATTAAAAGAGTGGTGCAACTTTGTAATACATGGAAGCAAAACCTGGAATCTCCCTGTATAGATATCCTTACCTCAACTAGCAAAAACCCCTGGTCCTCCTTATTAATGTCTATACTCTCTCTTTAACAAAATTAGAAATAAGGGCAAAACAGTATCTGCTTGGAAGTGAGGGGGTGGGGGCAAAAGGTAGGGGATGGGGGAAGGGAGGGGGTGGGGGGAAGGGAGGGGGTGGGGGGAAGAGAGGGGGTGGGGGGAAGGGAGGAGTAATGACCCAATCATTGTTTGCACATATGAATAAAGGAAATTAAAAAATTTTTAAAAGAGTGGTGGAATTAATTTGAATTTTCAAACTTATCTAAAGATCTGTTCCAACTATGGATATATAATATCTTATTCTGACTTAATCTTATAAAGAAAGAATAATACTTATGAAGGAAAGTTCCAGGGATGTTTCCTAACTGAAGAGAATGAATATTAGCAAATAGTGTTATTAGCATTTAGTACTTGAACTTAATAATACTCAGCATTGGGGCTAAAATGGACTTGCAAACAATAATACTCCAAAAAATATTTGATTATTGAATATCAATTTTTTGATGAAATACCAGCATGAATTATTGCAATGAGTTATTAAACAGAAAAATCAAGGGATTAAATAAAAACATTAACTCAAATATGTATGTGTGTGTGTGTGTATGTTTAATTACTCCACTATCAACGACTTGAATCATTAAGTTGACTTACAGCAGGGCCTGGAGGTCCAACTCTGCCAGCAGAACCAGGAAATCCTGTAGCACCCTAGGAATATAATACCACACAAGCAATTTTTAAATAATATTAATTAGTTATACATAGGTCCTGTAATCTATTATTTTCACAGGAAGACTTGTCTTTTAGATTCCCTCTTATATTGTGAGCATGCATTTTTCTTCTCATGCATTATATATTTTTGAGAAGGAATCTGGATTAATTAGTAGGAAGGGCACAATTTTTCTTTTTCTACTCTTCATTAATCTTGAACATACACAAGTAGAGATAAAAAACACATTTTATATAATCAAATTATTAAAGTGTTTTCACATTATTCATTTACTCTTTTGATTAGATAATGTACAATTCATTAACATATGAAGCAGCTGGGTCTTGAAGTTTACAAAACTGATTTTAACCAAGCTCCCCATTAAGTACCCTTTATAGGCGATACATATAATAACTTGTTATTGCAGTTTCAAGCAGATTAACTTTTACATGGTCAGGAAGCCCTACATGTCTGAAACTACCTTTGCACAATTCCGCAAATATCAAATCAACTTACAGGTGGACCCTGGGTTCCTCGACCACCTTTTAGTCCAGGAACACCATGAGGACCCTTAAAAAACAAAAAAAGAAACAAAAGACCACTGGAGTAAAGCAAAATAGGTTTCATGTGCACTCCAACATTGGACACTAGACTCAAATTATGCCTTTTTTTGGTTTGTATTGTATTTTAACTTACGTGAGGGCCAGGAGATCCTGCTAGCCCTTGTGGTCCTGGAGACCCAGCATCTCCCTTCTGTCCTGGCTCTCCAGGTTCACCCTTTACTCCAGGCTGGCCATCAGGGCCCTGTATGCAATCATACAAATGAGCAACTGGTTATAAGATTTATGGGCAAATTATTTCATAGTAAATATTATTAACATATTTTACCATATATTGTAAATTGATAATTTGTAATCAGTATTAAAGCATAGTTGAAGAAAAATAAAAACCCTGATGAAATCTTTGGAAACAATATGAAAAAATAAACTCTCCCAGTACACTCTTATTACACAAAATAATTATGCAAGGCCAAATATTGTAAACATCAATTTTATGTCATCTATGAAAAATGTATTGAAAATGAGAATAATGCTTAGGAAACTGTAAAGCATTCCAAATTTTTAATATACTTTCAAAACCTATGATAATGATCTTAAACTCATTACTATAATAAGAAGAGTGTTAATTTGTAAATTAGGGATATTTGGGAATTATACCTGAGGTCCAGCAAAACCAACAGCCCCAGTTGGGCCATTTTCACCACGAGCACCCTAAGGGAAGACAAAGATTACTGAAGCTTTCATACAGTAATCTAAATAAGAACAACATTTTAAAATAGGTTTAAATAAATTTAGAGTTTTAAATAAATTTCTATAGAGAAATCTGACATATTACTTGAGGAAGATTCTTAAGAGTAACACTAAAATGTAAGTCATTGAATGAAATCTCCAAGATCGGATGTCTTGTTATTCAGTAAATAAGTTGCCCACCTGGACTTAATAGACTGGATAGCTGATAATTTTTCAGGTCTAATTCAAAAAACTGAAACTTGAAAAGCAGGAAGTTATTAATGGCATAACCTAATAGACATGTAAATTAGATAGAAAAGACAGATAAGAAGAGATGATAAGATGAATGAGATAGATGACAGAGGAATAAAAATGCATAAACAAAATGTTGAATTGTCTTACTTCTCAATCTTATACTAAAGAACATCAAAATGCTGTCACTTACAGGATTGCCACGGGAGCCAGGAGGACCAACTAGACCTCGAGGACCAGGTTCACCCTAGAAAGTACATTGTGGATGGTCATTATCCAGACCAGTATTAAAACATAGTACAATTGTAGGACACTGGGCACCATGTATAGGGAGATAGTGAGAGAGAGCTCTGAGATGGTTTATCTCAGCTACAGAATTTGATGAAAGAAAACTTTATGAAACAACCAACATTTAGGCTTTATGATTTTGGGTGCACAAAAATAATAACTTTTGACTTGCCTTTTCTCCAGTAGGACCTGCAGGACCTGGAGGACCCAAGGGACCTGGAAGACCCTATTAATTAACAGAAAACAGACATATTGAGGAAAGAATGTACAGAAATCTCCAAGTAAACAAAAAAAGGAGAATATTTTGTTATAGCTTGGCTGCTTTTGCATACCATTACTTACAATAAATGAAATCTGTATATTTTCAAAATTTTTCTGTCTGGTCCAATATAATTTCCAACAGATTTAATCTTTTCTCTTCAACTAAACTCATTCAAAAATAGGTTTTAATTTTATACTTTTGACAAGAACATGAGAAAACTGTGTTCACTTATCCTCTGGAACTATAGTGGAACAATATTCTTTTAATACTTTACCTAATATCTGATTTGATTTGATTAAATATACAGACCACTTTATGACTTATAGTCATGGACTATTTTCATACAGAGAGAATATGTTACTCATTTTTCCTTTACTATGAGATTACAAACAATGTTTCATTCTGCCTCTTTCCTGAAATAGTGGATTGCCCTCAGTATGAATAAACCAGTCATTGTTTATATTCGGGTTCTATTACACTGCATTTTCATAAGCATAGTATACATGTAGATAATAGATTGTATATTTTGGATTTCCCCTGAAAACAATCTGTTAGTGCATCACTCCTTCAAACAGCACTATTAAACTACTTACTGACCATTCTAGAGCACTCATAATGTACAATATCAATAATATTCTAGATTTACTTAAATCACTTTTGAAACATCATGTTTATCTAAAAGGCATGAGATAGTTTGTGTTTATAATTTGTGATTCATTCTTAATTTTTCGTAAGAAAAGGGATGATTGTTACCGAGATACAACTTTTTTATATTTTCTTAATCAAAACAATAATAGCTTAATGTATAGAACCAAACAGTGGCTCAATTTGGTTTCTTTTGCATGGTACAATGGCTATTGGAGAGCACAACATGACAACTCTCAGTAAGGCATGTCTTACTGAATTGGAAATAATTCATAACATATCAAAACCTGTTCCAGTGAATGCCAGATGTCTGAGCCACCAGGACTAAACATTCTTACATGAGGAATTCATTAATGCCTGAGAATATACTGTCCATCTAGTCTGATTATCCTTGAAATTGAAAGTGCCTGCTAATTTTGAAGACCTAAAGCTTCTTCAATGTCCATTTCTGACAGGACATTAGATAATATTTTAGTGTCAACCATCCTTCTTGATGTTCTACTTATTCAGGGTCTTTTGAAGGAAGTATTAATGAGGGCTTACCATGTGATAATTTTCTGACCCCTGACATCCTGCACATTGAGGAACACTTATCACAACTTTGGTGACTACAATTCTACTTGCCTGTTCAAGAAAGTCTAGATCAGTCCATTAGGTCAGCATTTTAACAGAAATAAAAGGGGTAAGGGAGAGTAATAAAAGGATTAAAGCAAAATACCTCAGCAAAACCGTTTTGAACAATAAATATACATTTAAAAATGAAGGGCAGGAATGTAAAACAGGTCTTACTCGAGGTGAGTACTAGTGAAAGAGGGAGAGTGAACAGGGTGAATGAACACAAATATGATTGATGTAGTTTATATTGTATGAAAATAGAACAAGGAAACCTGTTGACATTGTTTTAAGAGTGGGATAAGGGAGAATTATGGAAAGGGGTAGATCTAACCAAGGTACAATGTAAGTATATATGAAAATGTCACAATGAACCCTCCCTATACAAATAATATATGCTAATAAAATGTTTTCCAAAAGAAATAAACATTGAACATAAAATAAAGTGATGATGAAGAAAGACAGAGACCCCATTCCTTTAAAGCATCTATTCCAAAGGCACAATAAATTTGTATTTATTTACCTCTCTCAACAATGACTAAACATTTTGGCTTGCTGTAATTCAAGATAAAGAAAAATAAGTACCTATGGTTTATCCACATCTAATGTCAAATACCATCATTCTCCCAATCCTGAAATGTGATTAACTTTATTTTGAAAAATTAAAGCAAGTTCATAAGTTCATAAGGCAAGCTCAGTATAATATTCTAGCCCAGCTAGCAAGTGTTTCACTCACCCTTGCTCCATCATTCCCAGCTGTTCCTTCAGCACCTTTCTCTCCTATGCCTCCCTGGGAAAACACACAAAATCATGTTTATGAATTTTATTGTCTGTTTCCTACACTTGTGAGGAAACTTGATGGGAAAAAGACCTTAACTATCTTCTTTATAGCTGTATCCCTTGAGCCCAGAATAATACCTGGCACTGTGCATTTTGTTAATAAATATTTATTAGAAGAGTTGCACAAATGACTTGCAACCCAGGCTGTCAGAAGTAAAAGCTTGCTCAAGAAATCCTTATGATTAGAAAGTCTAAAGAAATGAACTGGAAAAATAATTAACTAATTATGAATAAATAAATGGACTTACTCTGTCACCCTTGGGACCAGGAGTTCCTGCAATTCCTCTTTCTCCAGGCATACCTTGAAGACCTGGTGGACCTGTATCTCCAACAGTCCCAGCTGGACCTGGACTGCCCTAAAATGAACAAACAAAAAGTGACCATATGAATATGTTAAGACTGCACTATATGAAATTGCTGGTTTAGTAGGTCAAAATAGTTCAGCTTAGTGTTTATGTTTTGCATTTTGGAAAGTTGTATCTGCGTTAGAGTTTTGAAGTAAACAAAATCCAACTTGCTTTTTGATTTTTGGTTTATATTTCCAATTTGTCTCTTTAGAGAAAATTAGCATCAATTTAAATTAAAATGATAGAACTGTGCAATTTTTTCCATCGTTGGCCATATCATAGAGATACTAAGAATAAAAGAAGACCTTGCATTTAGAGAAAAGAAATGCTTCATTCTTTCTTTAGAGAACCTATAATATTAAGCTGGTTTCCCAGCTAATTTAGTGATTAAATTAAAGTCGACCTGACCCAGTCACTCTGGCCTCTGGAGATGGTTAAGTGTTCTCATGTTGCATGATCATGAAAAATTCTATTTTAATTGTGCATGCTAAAGTTAGCCACATTATCTACTAAAGGGTACTGATTTTTGCCTTTTGGTGCATTCTATTTTCAGAATTGGAAAACTACATTTTTTCTTTTATGTTGGAAGCAGAATTATGGAACTCAAGACAAGGAAAATGGAGTATATGATTAGGAATGCCTCTATAAATTGTGGAGTTTTCTCTTTCTTGTTTCTTTTTATTCATGGCAGCTGCTAACAAAATTTGTATAAACAAACATATATATATGCTTATATATGGGATATGTCATCACAAGCCCTAGACTATAAGCCCCATTAAGCCCCATCACAGAATACCTTTTTAGCTCACTCTTTACTTGCAAGGAAAAGCCTGATTAAAGATGTGTAGAGGAGAAAACACATGAAAAAATGCTCACCATCTCTAGCAATAAAGGAAATGCAAATTAAAACCACGCTAAGATTCCACCTCACCCCTGTTAGAAAAGCCATCATCAGCAACACCACCACCAACAGGTGTTGGCGAGGATGTGGGGAAAAAGGAACCCTCTTACACTGTTGGTGGGAATGTAGACTAGTACAACCACTCTGGAAAAAAATTTGGAGGCTACTTAAAAAGCTGGACATCGATCTACCATTTGATCCAGCAATATCACTCTTGGGGATATACCCAAAAGACTGTTACTCCAGAGGCACCTGCACATCCATGTTTATTGCGGCACTATTCACAATAGCCAAGTTATGGAAACAGCCAAGATGTCCCAGCACAGACGAATGGATTAAGAAAATGTGGTATCTATACACAATGGAATTTTATGCAGCCATGAAGAAGAACGAAATGTTATCATTCGCTGGTAAATGGATGGAATTGGAGAACATCATTCTGAGTGAGGTTAGCCTGGCCCAAAAGACCAAAAATCGTATGTTCTCTCTCATATGTGGACATTAGATCAAGGGCAAACACAACAATGGGATTGGACTATGAGCACATGATAAAAGCGAGAGCACACAAGGGAGGGGTGAGGATAGGTAAGACACCTAAAAAACTAGCTAGCATTTGTTGCCCTTAACGCAGAGAAACTAAAGCAGATACCTTAAAGCAACTGAGGCCAATAGGAAAAGGGGACCAGGAACTAGAGAAAAGGTTAGATCAAAAAGAATTAACCTAGAAGGTAACACCCACGCACAGGAAATCAATGTGAGTCAATGCCCTGTATAGCTATCCTTATCTCAACCAGCAAAAACCCTTGTTCCTTCCTATTATTGCTTATACTCTCTCTACAACAAAATTAGAAATAAGGGCAAAATAGTTTCTGCTGGGTATTGGAGGGGGGAGAGGGAGGGGGCGGAGTGGGTGGTAAGGGAGGGGGTGGGGGCAGGGGGGAGAAATGAACCAAGCCTTGTATGCACATATGAATAATAAAAGAAAAATGAAAAAAAAAATAAAAGTATTGTGCAACTCAGAAAAAAAAAAGAAAGAACTATGGTCACTCATGGTGACTTTCACAGTCTTAAGAGCCTCATTCTGTGAGCTATTGGAGGCAATAACAGCTGCAGAGGAAGAAAATAGCTAAAAGTATAGACTTTGGAGTCAGAGAGATCCAGGTTCCAGTTATCTGTTATCTACCATGCATGTGGTCTTGGACATCCTTCTGAGCCTTAGTTTCATCACCTCTAAAAGGAAGATAAAGTACTCTTCTAGAGTGGCGTTGTTATGATGAATGATTGTGATAATGCACATAAGCCACATAGCACAGTGCCTGGCACTGTGTAGAAACAGCTGCTGGTTTTACTTCTGTCCAGGAGAGTGGGAAGAGCAATGGAAAGGTGTGTGTGTGTGTGTGTGTGGTGGGGGAAATAAAAGTTCTCTCTACAAAAAAAAAAAAAAAGATGTGTAGAGGGAGAAAGTTATAGAACAAGAGAACATTGGGCAGAAATGCTAGAGCTTTTTCCAATGCTCAGATCATTACTCTACTTACTTTTGGACCATCAGGGCCATGTCCTCCAGCCATTCCCTTCTCACCAGGGAGCCCTGTTATCCCAGGTTCTCCTCTTTCTCCAGGATTTCCTCGCTCCCCCTAGTACAACACTGGAATGTCAAAAAACTGCAGTACTTGATTGAAAACAGGTTTAAAATGTTTCAATATATGGCTCTTATTAAGGGAAAAAACTTAGAAATGATCCACCATTACAGCTCAATTTTTCTAATGTAGTGCTAAGAAGAGAATTTCAAGTAAGCATATGCTAGTTTCATAGCACAACATATTTTTCATAAAATGATTTTCATCCAGTAGATGAATTTAATGGTCAAAATAAAATCCCTTTTGCAGATAAAAGCTGCATTTTTAAACTGAAGCCCATGGAAAACAAAATTCATCATGAAACACAAAATACTTACTCTAGGTCCTAATGGGCCAACTGCTCCAGGGTCTCCAGGAACACCCTATGAATACATTTTTAAAGATGAAAGAAAAGCTTTGAGCAGCTCTCAGTAACTTATAAGAACTCTTTCCAGATCACACACCCAATTGATATTGGTGTACCACTGGAAGCCTTACAACCCACAATAATGAAGAATGAATATATGCACACTTTTATAAATAAGAGAACATATGTTGTATGAAAACAACACTCATATTGTATCAAACCTGAATGTTTGATATTTCAGCAATGAGAAAATGCAAAATATTCTCTCACAAAAATAGAGCCTTAGCCTTCAAAAAAAAAAAAAAGGATAACAATCTATTCCAAATCCCTTTTATTTCCTAAGGAAAATGGAAAGGTTTAAACAGAGGGAAGCAATATAAAAACCAATGACAAGCTGGTCTTTCCAAGTAGAACCAATTTAATTCTACTCAATTTAGCAAATATTTCTTGGGCATATAATATGTACGAAGAATGCTGGCAGAAATTGTGGACTCTAACTAGCATAGCCACAGCTACATTGAAAGTTTCAGTTTGCTCTTCACTAAAGGAAAGTTTTTCATTTCAGTCATTTCTCTTTGATAAAGATACTCCTTAATCAGCTTCCTATTACTCTACTGATGAAGAACAAATTAGACCCAAATTGTGACTCTGTAATCTGGCTCCTGATTCACCATTCCACCTCATCTGCGTCCTCTTCAATTTGTATGACGCATTCTGCACTTACTGAATTTTTTCAGTGATTTAAATCAATCAGAACACCTGTGCATCTACTATATTTCAATTTGTTGGAATATTTTCTTATCTTCTCTCCTCTACCTTTGCCATCATTCATCCTTCAGATGTCAGCATAGATGTTGTTTAGCCTGGGAAATTTTTCCTAAACTCTCAGGTCTAAATTTAGTGCATCTTTTATGTTTCTACACATACAGTGCCTCTCTTATTATAGCGTTTGGAACACACTGTTGTTGTAACAGTCTTCCCATATTCTCTGTCTCCTACCAGACAATAGAAGGTAATAGCATAATTGCAAGATCCATATCCAACTTTTTCAGCTGCCAAGGTTGATGCTTAGTAGAGCCAAGCACACAGAATAATCAGCAAGTATTTGTTCAATAGTAATAAACAAATGAATCACTCAAAGCAAATGAATCTGTGTGCCAGTAAAATGATGGGAAAAAACAGTTTTATATTTTCCTAACTGTAAAGTTATCCAGTGAAACTCTAGTTATGATAAGGTATAAGAGAAGCAAAAAATCTGAATTTAAATCATATTAGCTGTGTGACATTGAGAAAGTTATCTAACTGTCCCTCCCAGTCCTCATCTGTAAAATGGAAATAATAATATCACACAGTATATACAGTTGTTTTGAGGATTTAAAGAGACAACATATAAAGAAAACAAGAACAGAGATTCACTAGTAAAAAGTAATATCATCACCCAGCAACTTAAACTTTTGCTATTATTATTATTTAAAAACTTACCTGATCACCTGGCTTTCCACCTTCCCCAGGAGGCCCTGGAGGTCCAGGAAGCCCCTAAAACAGTAATATGGAAATAAAATTATGAAACCATGAAAGTTTAATAGACTCCCAATGCCAACAGTTTACCTTTTATAATTTATGCAGTCTCCAGAACTATATATAAAGCAAAAGATATTGAGTAGATGCACAATGCACTAAGCAAACTTATGAAAAATATTGTTTAGACATGTTAAGGAAACTATGTCTAAGAAAACATAGGACCTAGTCAGTCTACAAGGTCAGATTTTCACTTATTTACACATAATTTTTTTTAAAAAGAGGTAAGAATATTTGAGCCTATTAGAAAATTAATACAATTCAGTTGTGAAAAATTTTCACAGATTATCATTATTTATGCTATTAAATGATGTGCAGTGTATGTAGACAAATCATGATAATTTGTCAGTAAGAAATTCTAGTTACTATGCCAATAAAATTAGAACAAAAACTAAAATGAAAATGTTTGATTTTATCCAGATTATCTATCCTCTCTACTAAAAAAGGAATGAGTGATTTGAAAAGTTTATCATCATTTGATATTATCTTTTTACATTTTAAAAAATGCATTTTAGAAACCATTTAATGGAAGAAAAATGGAAACCTAAGTTAGTGCATACCTGAAAGCCAGTTGGGCCTGGAGGTCCTTGTTCTCCTCTTTCCCCAGCCAGACCCTAAGTCAAGAAGGAAAGAAAACCATGAATACAGCCAGATTTTTATGGTTGCTTCCTATTTATGTGAGGTATTGTGATCTCTTTCTATATCTTCCAGCCATGTCTTTCACTTCAGCCAGATAATAAGCTTGCCTTAAGAGACTGATGACACATATTAATTAATTTATTTATTTATTTTGATTCAAACATATGTGTTGATTAATTGATTTTGATCTGAAGACAACTGCAAAATTATGGGGATATTGGGTAAGTTGAATATGGAAAACCCATTATTATCATATATAATTTAAAAGGGTAATATTTTCTATTGTAGTTTGTTCCTAAGTGTCATAAGAATTATTAACCAAGACTTCAAAGTTAGAATGACTAAAGAAAAGGAATCCAACATTTTAGAAAGATATTTAAACTTCTCCATCCCAAAACAAATAAACAGGTTTAAAATCCTAGGATGAAAACATAACCTCATAGGATAAACACTTCAAAAACCACTTTTCACCACTTCAAAAACCAGCTTAAATAAAGCCAGTCTAAATAAATTATTGGACAAAGGTAGATATAATTCCATACTTAAATATTTTAAATAAGCTACATTATAAAATATTATTTGCCAAACCAGTAATATTTTTCTCAGGTGGTGTATTTTTCAACTGTGACTACAAAGATGATAAGGCATCCATCGCCATTAGATTTCTTTAAAACTTTAAGTGAGAAGACCATTTTATTTAAAAAGGCAGACGATACCAGATCATGAGGGATCAAATGAAAAGACATAACAGACACACACATTCTCCTTCTCTTCCATGAAACTTATTTGTGAGTACAACTGTGGAGAAAAATCATTGTAAACACATTGTATAAGTATTATTACTAAAAGATTACATACCGGGGGCCCCACAGGACCGGAAGGACCAACTTCACCATCTTTGCCAGGAGCACCCTGGTATCACACAGAGATAAGTTATGAGGGGAGGACAAGAGGTTTGTATAAATTTTTTTTATTTTTTGACAGAAAATTGATAGTTACTCTCTGCCCAGGAACACCAGCATTTCCTGCTTCTCCAGGTTTTCCAGGGTCACCCTAAAGAATAAATGGAAATTATTGTAAAATTCAATCAATTTGCTACCAAAAAAATGAGGACTCCGATGAAATGGCATGATACTCACACTGCTACCTTTGGGGCCTGGAAGACCCATACTCCCAGGTTGCCCTCTGATGCCTATGGAACCAGGAGGACCTGGTCGGCCATCTTCCCCTGGAGCACCCTACAGGATTAACAGGAAATATGTAAGTTATATATAAGTTCTCTATAAATACTGTATTTACTCTATAAATGCTATATTATCGCTTGCTTTTCCTTACTATAAAAGTTATATAAATTTTATTTATTTAGTTGTTATTAGTGTGCATTAATAATAAAAAGTAAAGAGTTTATTTTTGACATTTCCACATGTGTATAACATACTTTGATCATCTTCGCCCATCATTCTTTTTTATCCCTTCTACCTTCCTAGTACTTCTCCTCTAACTTTCATGACCTTGCTTCTTTTCCTCATACATTCTTTTTCTTTACTGCAAGGATTATTATATTCAAATAAATGATAAATTAGGACAGAAATAGAAACAAATGAAGAGAGAAGACTATTTCCTTGATGTGCAGAAGTGGGCAAGAAGATAAAGAAAAAACGTGGTCTTCTCTTCAAATTTTCTGTATTGAGGAAATACATGTGGTCCTACCATAGAAATCCTCTTATTAGAGACACTGACTCTAGGTAGGTCTATAACCAAAAGATGGCCAAGGTGCACCTTGTTGTTGTTCTAAAACATGGAGGTTTGATCTAGGCTTTCCAAATCACAGTAATTGTAGTTGTGAGTCTCAGGATTTCAATTTGCTAGACAAGTACTTAAATTTTCTTTCTCTGTAGCTATTCATGTTTGCAGCTTCAGGCTAGGAATGTTGCTAAATTGGTAGAAGATGGTGGCCATGAGCACAAAGCCCCTTACTGTATATGCATCTATACCTACCTATCTATCTGTCTGTCTGTCTAGCTAGCTAGCTAGCTAGCTATCCACCTGTCTATACATCTGTCTCCACAATTCAAAAATGTCAAGTTAAAATTTAATACTACACACATGAAATATCCATTTTGCATTTACACAGTGTACAATATTCTAACTCATCCTCCCCAGTAAAAACAATCAAAGCAAGTTCTTATTAGTATTGAGTGAAATTTGTTTTTCAAATACTTCTTTTATTCTCTCCTTTTATTTTATCATTGTTACATTTACTTACATGTGTATACACTATTTGTGCCACCGACCTCCTCCCCCACCTCCCACCCCCCACTCCCATTTCTGGGCAGAACTGTTACATTCTACAAATGTGAGAAAACATGAAATACTTATCTTTGTGGGACTGACTGGCTTATTTCACTTACATAAATTTTAAATTATTCTATGCTTTTGTCTTAGTGAATCACAAAAATTGAATGGATTTTAGAAAATGACTGAAGTACTTTGAGTAGAACATTTACGATACATTTTACTTTTACTCTATTCCTAAGTCTCATCTTCACATCTCATGACACTCTGATACTAAGAGGGGTATTTTTCCCTCTTTTGTTTACTCTAGTTTATGGTAACGAATGCTTAGGATTCCTATTTCACATTTCCTTATAAGGGAAGGTCTCAGAATACACAAGCTGTCAACATTCATACCTATCTCTTAAACATGTAAAATTGGAAGGACATAAGGAAATAAGAATATTACTAAAAGATAAACTTTTCCAATATTGAAATATGTCATTTCAACTTTTTTACTTAAGCAACTTCAATCTCAAGCATTCATCTCAATACAACTTAATCGATATTTTGTGAATTTGTAAATACAGATTCTAAGAAGTTATGACCAGTGGACACTTAAAATATGTAAACATTATCACCATCCACATGACCAAATAAATACAAATTGCATGTCTATTGGAAAAATATCACAGACAATAGAGATTTATTTAAATTACTTACCAAAGGTCCAAGCTTTCCTTCAGGACCTTGAACACCAGGATTTCCTGTCAAACCCTAAAATGAAAAGGAACTGTCAACTTGTTTCTCCCTTGCATTTGAAGTAAATATTCTAAAGAGGTAAAATAGTGTCACATTGTTGACAACTGAATAGAAAGGCAATTCCATAATTTTAATAATTTTCAAATGACATTCATTAAAATGAAACATCAAGAATTCTCTGTGTCAAAGGCCAACATCATTTTTTTGGCAAGAAGTAAAAAAATTATAAAAATTTACAAACAGGATTTTTTCTCATGTCAAGTGGTAAAGCTATTAGTACCTATTCCTTTGAAAAAGACAGGAAAGAATTTACTGTTTGTTGTACATGATGAAAATAACAAACCAGTGTTTAAAAAATGATCAGGTCAAAACCATAAAAACAAAGAAATTTTCCAAGTTGTAAAAACAAGCTTCTTTTTTAAATTTCATGAATGTTCAGGAGGATATCTTTTGTGTCTTGAGTTGATGTAGCAAATAACTACAGTGTTCTTACCCGAGCACCTGGAAGCCCTGGTTCCCCTGGACGTCCTGGGTCCCCCTGGCCTCCTTTAGGTCCCGATGAACCTACAGGACCCCGCTCTCCTTGAGCACCCTATTGCAAAGCAAAGGAGACAAGTCAGAATAAGAAAGGAGTACAGGAAACAAAAGGAAGCAGAGGTTAATTCTTAATTTACAAGTACATACTATTACATTAGCTTTTTGTCAAAGAAGTTACAAAAACCCTTGGTCCTTCCTATTATTGATTATACTCTCTCTTCAACAAAATTAGAGATAATTTTAAATTGTTACCCCTCGCTACCTGGAGCTCTGGCTGCACTACCACACTGAAAATGGTAACTTTTGGAGCAACACCCACGAAAGTGTTAAGCAGTGGTAGTGTGATCTCACCTTTGGTCCAGGTAAACCATCAGAGCCTGGAAAACCACGATTGCCAGGAGCACCCTGCAAAGCACCAAAATGTGATTCTTAATTGTTGGTGACATTTTTGTAATATAGTGAGTGAGTAGTTTTTACATTTAGCACTGTAAAGTTTTAAGAGATATGACCAAGCCAACACAAAAGGAAAAAATAACCTAACTAGACAGAATAAATTTTAAATTTTGAAGAATATGTAAGTATTGAACCAAATAATTCTTCAAATCAAGAAATACTCTTAACAGTTCATCGTAAAATAAACACAAATGAATATGCAAACATGAGAAGCAAAATAACCATCTATAGTTTAAGGTCAGCAATAACATGAATTGGTCTTGTCTTGTGTGAGAAGCCCTTGGCTTTCCCTGGAGATATGTACAAATGTGAGATTACTGTTGTTCCTTTCAGATCTGTTTGCTTACATTCCCATCACAGCCAACTCTTCTGATCTTTAAAGCCGCATGTTCTCTCTTATATATGACAGACCTAATACAAATGCAGCAATATTACAAAACACTGGTCACACTAAGGGGAGGTCACATATGAGAGGGGTAAGGTAAAAGAAAGAAACTAAGAACTTGAATATAGGTGATATATTCTCTATACAAAAATGAAAATAGAAATCTTAAGCCAGCTGATACCACCATAAGAAAGGGACTAAGGTAGAATGTAGATAATTACAGGAGATAAACCAATTGTGGTATAACACATATATATGTGTGGAAATATCACAAAAAAACTCCCTGTCTCAAACTAGCAAAAATGTTATTTTTCTTTTTATCTTTTGTCTTCTGCAAAATCAGAAAACGGGAGGATGGAACAGGTCCTGCCCAAGGGGAGGGTTGGCACCACTGCAAGGGGGTAGGTGGCTCAAGCTAGCTAGAGTAGGCATTCAATCAATATCAGCTGAACAAATGAATGAAGCATGATTAGATAGCTGGCTCTTTTTAGACACAAATAACACTCTTTGAGGTACCCATACCCCAAAACCTCCTCTTGAAATTTCTCCACAGCTATAAGAATGCATTTTATTATTCAAATTTACCCTTTCTCCCATTGGACCTGCAGGTCCCACTGTTCCTGGATCACCCCGAGGACCTCTTTTGCCTTCTTCACCAGGTGGGCCTATTGGACCCTGAATACCATGTGGCCCCTATTAAAAAGAGAAAGACAGTTACTAGGAAAAGCCATTTGACAAGTTAGTTATAGTTGGAAGACTCATTTAATGAAGTTAGTCACAAATTCTAAAGTATAGTAAATCATTAAAGTGTTTCATTTCAAGCTATTATAATTCCCAGTATTATTTTAAACCCTTAAGTATTTTGAGTTGCATACTTCTAAGCAATATTTATATTCCTTTTATCATTAATAAAAATGAAGACTTACTGGCTCCCCTTTTGGACCAGCTTCTCCTTTGAAACCTGGAACTCCTGGATCACCCTAAAATAAAATATCAGTAGTTAGAAGAAGCAGGTCATTTACCAAGCCCAACCTGCCCTAAGTAATTAAAGTGTATGAGCCCTAATTTTTTTTTTCAGCAGCCGAGTTTGTTTTGAATTACTAGTAAAGTACAATCACTTTTTCAAACTTTGCAAATCAGGTAAAATATGTGTAATTTCATGTACAATCCGGTATGATTTGATAAAAATTTGTTCAGATTACAGTAGTCTTTAAGAGGTTTATTTTTCAGTCATTTTTTTATCATGCATGCTAGAATGATTGGCATTAATCACTTATTCAAATTTGATCATTAAAATTAGAACTAAGATTGACTTCTATAGATTACTTAGCATTTTATTTTAGGATTTGGATTTGTTTATTCAGAATTGAGAAAAAAAAATTTGCAGGCTGTGGATTGAACTCAGGGCTGGGCAGGTGTTCTACCACTTGAGCCATACCCCCAAGCCCTTTTTCTTTGGTTACTTTTGAGCTAGGGTTTCACATTTATGCCATGCCAGCCTGGACCAAGATCCTCTTTTGTCACTTCCTGCCTAGCTGGGATGATAGATGTGTGGCCATCATGCTCATTGGCTGAGGAGGGGGTCTCTCAACCTTATTTCCCCTGGGGCTGGCATTGAACTGAGATCTTCCCAATCTCCACCTCCTTAATAGTTAGGATTACAGGCATGAGCCATGTACCTGTCCAGAATCAAAATAATTCTATATTTATGTCCTATTTATTTGAGAATTTGACAACCTCGAATAGTGTATTTCACTTTTAGATTGTTTGGGGAGAGGAGGGCTGTGCAAATGTCTCTCTAAATACTTATTGTAGTTTATGTTTCAGGAACTAGATTGCCAAATTCAGAATGTGGTAACACAACATTAATAAGTTGTGACTTATTAACAACACTCCTATTTTAATAAATCTGCCACTAGCATTTAAAAGGCATTTATCAGCATGACCACATTACTTGGAAGAGAACATAAAATATTTATTTAAAGTATTATTAAGAAATAAGGTTTTTTATTGTTACATATCAATCTAAAAGCTTTATAATCACATGTCCTCAATGTATTTATTTCTTATAGACTCATTGAAACATTTTTATATAATAATTTCCTCAAAATATGGAAACTCATTCAACATGAACAATATGAGAAATAGCTGTTGAATCTGATTTTAGCCAAATCATCACAATATATCCCTATTAAATAACCTACAAATTTCCTCTCAGTGGCTTGTAAAATACTTCTATAATATTTAGTATTTAGCTATTTGTAAAATTCTATGAGGGAGACCATGAAGTTATAACCTTAATAGTCTATGTTTTTAAAAAACATTAAGGTTTAACACATTGCAAAATGTCAAGCTTAGAATTTAAATATCTAAATTGTATGTTAGCATTTGACTTTCATTTTACAATGAGTCCAGTCTTTCTTTCTCTCATTTGAATAGTCACGTTATCTCTGTTTCATTGTGTCAAATTACATGTTGTTTCTGTATGTTCTCTGTGCTAGATTACACTTGAGAATAATGGCTGTTTTTACTCAGTCACAAAGACAAATGAAATTTTGTCATTCTCAGGAAAATGGATGGAACTGGAGAACATCATCTTAAGCGAAGTGAGTCAGGCTCAGAAGGCCAAAAATCATATGTTCTCCCTCATATGAAGATTATAGACCCAAAACAAATACAGTAACATTATTGGACATGGTCACACACTAAGGAGAGACCACGCATGGGAGGGATAGGGAAAGGGAAGAAAACCAAACCCTTGAAAGTGTTTGACGTGCTCACTGTATAGGAACAAATATAGTAATCTTAACCTGGCAGAGGCCAGTATGGGAAGGGAACTAGGAAGTAGTGAAAAGGTTTGGTAGAGATGAACCAGTTTGGGTTGTAATACACATGTGCATGGTAACAACACAAGGAATCTTCCTGTATAGCTATTTTTATCTCAAACTATCAAAAACTCCATGTTTTTCTTTTTTATCTTTTATGTTTTTTCTCCAACAAAATCAGACAACAAGAGGGTAGAACAGGTTCTGCCTAGAAGCAGAGGTTGGAGGGTAGGGAAGGTGGCCCAAATAATGTATACACATGTAAGTAAATGTAAAAACGATAAAGTAAATTTTTTCAAAAATGTTAATAAATTGATGGCAAGATATAAATGGGAAAAGAAAAGAAAAAAAAAAGACCTTACCGGTTGTCCTCGAATTCCCTGAGGTCCAGTGCTGCCCTGAGGTCCAGGAGATCCAGGGGGCCCTGGTAAGCCAATAGGGCCAGAGGTACCTGCAGAACCCTATCAGATAGCAAGAGTGAGATGATAACCAAAGACCTAGATAGTAATCTGACACCAAAAAACTGTCCCCTTTTGAACATGTAGCCTAAATGCAGTTACTTACCGTAGGACCTTTGGCACCAGGTGTACCATCAGTTCCCACTGCACCCTAAAAGGTACATAAAAAGATTTTGAAATATTAAGCTCTATGGCACATCTGGGTGGTGCTCTTATGTCCAGGAGCAGAAAAATTGTTTTAAAAATGTATCTACCATTATAGCAGTACTTTTGTGATTACTTATCTTTTCCATAAAATGGACAAAACTCATTAAGCTGATATAAGAGATTTTTTTTCATGAGTTTTAATCACTCATTCAGAATTCTAAAAGTATTGCAAAATAGTTGCATTTTCTCTGATGTTATAATAAATGCCCATCTTTTTGAGCTAGTTCTTAGATGTGCTAGGAACTTACAGGAAGACCTTGAGAGCCAGCTGGACCTGGGGGCCCTGTTTCACCTCTCTGTCCCTGAGGACCTTCAGGACCTCGTGCCCCAGTAGGACCTGCTTCTCCCTAAAGTGATGCAAAGGGAAATGTTATTTTAAGAAAAATATGGAGTGTTGCAGTGCTAAGTTGATTGCATATTTAGAATTTTTCCTTTTAAATTCAAACATTTAAAGAAACAGAGATCACAAAGAATTTTGTCAGGGATGTATGCCTGACCTAGTTTAAGTAGTGGACTAACTTTACCAGCCTGTTTCTTATGTTGTGATGCAAGGTATCTCTTCACTGGGAATATTCTCCATAAAACAATCTCCAGTTACAGAACTCATACACATCCATTAGCATCAGCCTAAGTCCCCTCTCCTCTAAGCCCCCACAAAATTTGGATTTTTTTAACCTCATTTACAAGATTTTTTAACTTATTACATATTTAACATTCCTAAATTCATAATAAAAAAACTAAAATAACCCTATACCAGGCACCAACTAGTTACTCAAAGAATGAGAGCAGATACTCTAATCCCTACATGTTCTGCTTTTTATTTGTTCTCATATAAATATCCAGGTCCTTCAAATCATCTCTATGTAAACAGCAGAAACACATTCAGACTCTTCAAACAGCACAAATCAAAGGAAAGAGGGTAATTGAGCAGATCCACTGTGCTTGCAGGAGCTATGTCTGTTTAATGTAAACCTGGACATTTCAAGTTATCCTAGGCTAACCCAAAGTATTTCCTCATATTTCTAAAACAACCTAATGTTAACTAAAATATGCTGCAAGACTCAGATGATAGTTCTCAAAATAAGTGAAATTCACTGTTAAAAAGTGTAAAGTACTGCATCATCATTAGAAAGTAAGAAATTGTTTCTTTACTATGTAAGCAAAATAAAACTCATGTTTCACAGTATATGTTATGATTTGATTATAAAAAAATTAATTCTACTAACCTTCAAAAAGCATTTATTCTATGAGATGGAAAATACCTAGGCTTTAAATGTCTACTGAAGGTGATAATTTTGGGTAATAAACAAGCAAATTCTGATTTATTTAAAAAAGCACTTCTTTGATAGAAATTCAAAGATCTTTGTAAAGCCAGCTAATGAGCTGATTTATTTTAACCTCCTATTGTTTAGGACATTCTGCCGTTGATTATTCTCTGGCACTCTCTCCAAAAACAGAGTTCCAACTCAGTTCAAAACTTTTCTTTCTTATGGCTATTTCAATTCTCTGGTTCTAGAGTCCTGACACAATGTAACTTCCACACTTATCAACTAATGAAATGTCATTCTTCACTTCAGGACTCATGTAATCAAGTAGTTAAATATATTACTATCTTACCTTCATTCCAGGATTTCCTGGAAAACCAGAAGAGCCAGGTATCCCAAGAGGACCCTATTAAAGGAAATCAGAAAAGTAATCAGACATGTTTTTAATTCATGCCTAATTAGATCATTTTTTTATTCTCTAATAACAATCTGTATTTTCACACATAATAAAGGAATAAACTGTTTTGTACTTTAAAATCACAAAGATAATAATTTAATATTATTAAATGTTCCTTCCAACATTGATCCAAAGTAGTTCCCAAAGACATACCCAATGGTAGTAAACATAATTTCATTTCCTAATTGTACCACATAAGATTAAGTCAGTATGAATTATTAATTGTTCAAAACTGAGATTTTCAGTCAGTTAGCACAAAGGAAATATATTTTTCAAGAGGCAATTATTTTAAGAAATGTATTTCCTCTGTGTTAACTGGGTGAAAATCTCTGTTTTTAGACAGTTGTATTTTGTGCCAAAATCCAGTAGTTTGTTTTATGAAAGTGATGCCTCAGAATCATGTAAATATTTTTCAAGCAATATTAAGTAGATATTTCATCTTATCATCTATTTGGAAAGGCATATATAGATTGAATAGAGTTTACCACTGATTTAAAAGCTTAATTTAAAGGAAATAGCTTTAGAAATCCATTATAAGTTGTCCTGGTTCTTCTTTGAAAACTGTATTTTAAGTTCATCAGTTTTGAATTAATAAGCATCTTTTCAAAATACACAGTACTTATTCTTGTCTATATTTGTTTATTTTTATGAGTAACATTGGAAAAAAATCAAGGAAAATAATTTTAATTAATATAATTGCACCCTAATTTTGGCATATAGAAAAAATTTAAAATTTGAATTCTTTTCTTTGCTCATCTTTTAATATTGGCTCACATTGATCATGAATATTCTCTCTTTCTTTATCTCTTTCTTTCTCTCTCTTTCCTCTCTCTCATTTCCTTCCTTCTCTCTCATTTTGTTTTTCTTAACAAAATGCATCTTGTGGAGCTTGACTTAACTCTTGCTGTTTCAAACAAATAAAGTGTTCCACAGGCTACATAGTTAGGACACTATCAGTATGTACATCTTATTAGTAACCAGTCTTAATCACATATAGAATAGTTTCTTCTAGAGTAATTATATTTTCCTTTCGAAAACCAGGGCACCACTACTAAAGTGATTAATTTGATGAGAAAAGCACATGTATGAATCAATTGCTCTATAATTCAGAAAAGAAGTTTATATTTTTAGGATAATATTTAAAACATTAATTTAATTTTGTTTCACTCCTGGTATAAGTGTCCTTCACAAGATAAAAGTAGACACTGATCCACCAGCTATGACTATCATCTGCTTCTTCTCCATAGATCTCTTAAGGGCCCTAGGTTGCCAGGTACCTCAGCAGTTAATGAGCAGCAACTCAGAATATACACATGACAGAACTACTGAGAGTCAGCGAGAGAACTAAAAAAGAGACTGACTAATATGTCAGAAATTTACCAAACTAAAACATTTCCTTTTATATTATTTACTATCAATAGCTGAAGAAATGTTCAAATTTTTATCTTCAAATGTGAAGATTAAAGGTTTATCATGTCAGAAGTTAACCACTGTCTGGAACAAAATTCAGAAGTATTGTTGATAGTGACCATAAAAAGCATAGTATACAGAATATTATCACTCCCTGAGACTTTATCCTTTCTCATTCCACATTACACTTTTTCTCCAATAGTTTTATCTTTTGCCTATATGCTAAAATAGCCCAAATCTACATTTACAATTCAGATCTCTATGCTGAGTTCCACACTTGCATATCCATTAACAAATTTCTAATGAATTAACTTCTTTCCATCCTAAATCCAAATCCACAAACTGTAGCCTAACTATAGCCTGCTTCTCTTACTATTTTTCCAAACTCAGATAATTTACATCATCCACCAAAGTCCTTAAACTAGAAAACTAATAAGCAATGGCCGTTAGATGTTCTCAACAATCTGCCTCCATTGGCACTATAATAACTTTAGTTTATACCTTTATGCATTTCCTCTGAGATTATGTTTATGATATCCACACTCACTCTTATGTCTTCCTCTCCTCTTCCACATTACCAGCATCTGATCTTTCAGATCATGAGATTCTGATGTTGAGTCCCTGAATGGCTTCTCAATATCCACTACAGGAACGAGCTCAAAAACTCTTCAACACAGCAAGTGTAGCCCTTTACGATTTAACTCCTTTATGCCAATCCAATGTTACCCTCTTAACATTTCTCTGAGATCACCATGTTTTTTCATTTATCAATCCTACTTATGGAACTATATTCGTTATTTATTTTATGTATTATTGTCTCAAGATTGACTTGAAAATTACTCCTTGTCTTCCTTTATATCCTTCTATTTAGGTTTAGGTATTTCCTCATGTTGTATACCTCAAATTGGGTTCTATATTATGGCAATTAGCAATACATTACACAATGATCTTAATTAACACATCCAGTTTGCAAGGAGAGGGGGCTGCTTATTATGTTGTTATTCTAAATATCTGGAACACAGTGGGTGCTTTGTAAATTTTTATAAATGTAAAAGTGAAAAAAGAGATGAAGCAACACAACTCACCATTGGTCCTGGTTTTCCTGGCATACCATGAGCACCTCGTTGTCCCTAAAAAGAAGAAAAAGAGACAAGATAAGATTACATTTTCTACAGTATTTTCTAATAATTCACTTGAAATTCACATGATTCACATGAAAGGTGTCTACCTTTCATCTTAAACAATTAAAGAATAAATATTAAGTTTGATAACAACAGACACCGAGCTATTAGCAATAAAGTATGCATTTACACAAAGCTGATGAGGTAGTATTAAACACATCTATTCTTACAGCCATAAGAAATAAAAGTAAAAACCAAGATTGAGAAGATGAAACTGATTCAAATTATTCTTTTTACTTTAATGTATCACCTCTGTCATATGGATTGAGACAAACAGTCTTAGTCTTCTTAGAAGCCAGATTAACTCAGAGGAAGAATGTCTTCCTTGCAAAAACAAAGTAAATAAATAAAACACATGCACACAGAGAGAAATTAAGTTGTAGTGAATTTTGTGCAGTGAATTCCCCTTCAGATCTGAATATTTGTTCTACCAGCTGGAAGTGCTACCTGCTGAGGGCCCACAGTTGAGAAGCTTACTGGGAAGTGCCATCAGCTAAAGGGAGTTAGTTTTCCAAAAGTTCTGCCTTTTCCATGGTCAATGGAGGAGTACAAATGATTGGCTTCCATCCAAGACTATCTGAAAGCTCCATAATTCCCCTGAGATTACCAAGGGGCACTGTTGCAACTGCAACACAATTCAATTTCTTCTTCTCATAAACCTTGCTTCTTTTATTCATTCCTTCATAGGTATAATTTCTAACAGCATTCCCCAGTAAATTTCCTATATAGAGTTGCTGCTTTGCAGCTGTTGCCTAGGAAAACTGACCTAAGATCCTGAAACCATGGATGCCAGAATTGATACAAGAAAGAGGACTAAATTAGAATTTTTTAAGCTGAATTCCTCACTGGTCAACTGATGATAGAGGGAATATGTGTCAACTTGTCACAGTGTTAATGTGATGGTAAATACTGTCTCTAATAGTGAACACAAGGGTAGGGCACGAGGCTAAGGATGCAATAGTTCAGGCATTGATTTGGCTTAGGGACAACAGCAACCACAAATATGATGGAATTTCATTAGTGCAGTCATTGGGAAAAAGACATTAAAAGGTCAATGATGATTGAACCTGGGTAGAGAGTATGTACTCTATTAATTCTCTTAACTGCTCTTAGAATGTCATGCTATGCTAGCAAATCTTTCAAACTTGCAGTTTGTTCCAAGAGAAAAAATGGGGGGTCCTTCAGTAACTCTTGTTTAAAAGGCATATTCAGTAAAACAAGCCTAAAAGAATTGATATACACTTCTCAGCAGCATGCATAAAAATAGATACTTACAGGAGCACCCTGAGGCCCAAGTCTCCCCCTCTCTCCTGGCATTCCCCTCGGACCCTGTAGATAACAGAGAAGAACATCTCTTGAAGCCACTACCATGAATTCTAGGCTGGTTTGACGACACTACTCCATCCACTTGAGACTGAATGTTAATTAGTCACTGAATATCAATATTTCTAGCAGCAATTTGGGATATGAAAAACTGTAAAGATACCTCCCTGCCACCTATTATATAACTAGATTTCACTTAGCCTAGATTTAATGAATTAAATGTACAATAACACTGATTTGATCAACAGTGTTGATCAAAGAAAAACAGTAAATCTGGAAGGGCCTGTGAATTAACAAGGGCCTAATTCTCTTGCTTTGTATGCCCATGAGCTGCTAATCAAGATTGTTTCACTAGCTAGCATATGCTCTTCATGCTTTTTTTTCATACAAACAGTCTCTTAATGTAATCTAACAATGTACCCCCAGCACCACAATAAAAAATAATGATAAAAAGATAAGAAAGAAGTTTTTACTTACCAAAGGACCCATGGCACCCATTGGACCAGTAGGACCAGCTTCACCCTAAAGCAAAATTAAGATTATATTACGGTTCAAGAAATCCAAATTGATATCAGCATCACATCGTTCCATGTGTGTATGATGCTGGAAGCATATTTTCAGAGGACATTTGGAAGGTGTACTTTCAATGAAATAGCTAAGAATTTTGTTTTACTGCCTTTTCTTAAAAGTAAATTTGGAGACCAGGTATAGTGGCACACACCTGTCATCCCAGCTACCTGGGAGGCAGAGATTGGGAGGATTATGGCTCAAAGACAACCTGCACAAAAAGTTAAGTGAGGCCCCATCTCATCCAGCAAGTCAAGAATGGTTGTGTATCTATAATCTCAGCCACTGGGAGGCATAGTTAGGAACATCATGGTAAGGTTGGCTTTGGACAAAAACAAGAGAAAGTATCCAAAAAATAATTAAAGCAAAAAAGGACTAGGGGTGTTGCTCAAGTAGTAGAGGGCCTTTGTAGCAAGGGCGAGACCCTGAGTTCGAACCCTAGTACTTCCATTAATTAATTAATTAATGAAAATTCTGTAGGAATAAGTCTAAAATAAAATTGAGAACTTAAACAAGATTGATGGAAACTCTCACAACTAGCCAATAGTTGTCTGACAAGTAAAATTTTACAAAGCTAGAATGTGCTATAATATTCTCTTAAGAGATGTATAGAATACTTAATATGTTAAAAACAAATGCTTTTCTGCATATGAATCTCAAGATGCTTCCTATTAAAAATTTGTCTACATTCCTTTATTTTTTCTTTCCTTGTAGAAATAAGTCACTTTTGAGAAGAAACAATGACTAGAAGTTCCTAATATTAAAAGGGTATTGAAAACTATAGGAAATTTTATTTATTGAACTATTCCTCTATTTATACCACCTTTTCCTCCAGAATTACTGAAGGTGCTTCTGAAAAGTGTGGAGGCACTTGAAGCAGATCTGAGGGTCAAACGAAGTTAAGTTCAGGCATGATTACCTTGGCGCCTATTGCTCCAACTTCACCTTTCGGGCCTTCAAGACCTTTGTGTCCCTGAAAAGAAAAGTGTAGACTTGTATATGTTTTCTGTTTTCGCTACTTTCAAAAGCATAAAGGAAGAATAAAAATAAGCTCATAGAAAGTGCCTTATGCATACAAGTCTCAAGTTTATGAAAGTTGCTGCTCATTAAATCTCTAAACTCTTAACCTTTTCTTGAGAGTCTATCTAAACATTAATAAAAGGTTTCTCATTTAAATAATATTTTCAATTTCCAATGTTATCAATCCTCACAAAATTATGAATTCATAATCATCTATAGCTATAAATAAAAATTTCACATAGTTATAGGGCTCACAGAGTCACAAAATATGTGTTACATATAGAACTTGCATTCAAAATACAATTGGTCCTCTGTCCACACTTTCTATATCCACGGATTCAAGAAACAGGAAACTGAAAATACTTGGGGGATAAAAAAGTTCCATTATTGATGGCATGTACTATACAGTTAGGCCTATGATGGTTACATCTATACCAAACATATACAGATTTTCTACCCATTATTCTCTGAACAATAGAGCGTAATAGTTATATAGCATTAACATTGTACGAGGGATTGTAAGTAGTATAGAGGTAATTAAAACTACATGGGAAGTTGTGCATACGTTACATGCAAATACAATGCCACTTTATATAAAAAGACTTGAGTATTGGTGGATTTTGGTATTCTAGAGGGGAGAGTGCTGGAACCAATCCCCATGAATACTGAACAACTGTTTTTAATAACTGATACAACAATCAACCTTGCCTTCAAAATCAGAGAGAAAGTTTCAATATGTGTACACAACACATAACAGTTACATATTATCTTGAGTTACAAAAGAAGCATTCTGTTGCCTTCCAAATGTGGTAGACTGGTCCCCTCTGTGACCCTATATACTCTCTCCTTAAATCATGACACTCATTCCACTACGTAGAAATTGCCTATTTTCTAAACAGTATCCTTTATTAGTTGAGGCAGCAGGCTAGATTATTCTCATTTATCACTGCATACTGTACCCTTTTTTGTAGCACAGTGTCTAGTACATAGTAATAACTCAAATTATATTTTTATAGAATAAAATTTAAATTCAAAGGAAATGTAAAAGATCATTGTGAAATCAGTAACCACAAATGAATATTGTGATCACAGCAATGGCAATTGACAAAGGGCATTATAAAGTTTACAAAGAAAATGCTTACTGGACCCTGCTTTAAAAACCATAGTACATGAGAGGGTGACAAGGGACTGAACTTACTCGGTGACCTTTCAGCCCTGGAAGACCGGGAGCCCCAGGAAAGCCTCGAGCTCCCTGGAGGTAAAAACAGATAAGGAATTTTAGAACACATTGCTTACTATACTTTTTATCCCGAAATTATCGCATAAAGTTTTTCACCAACAAACTAAGGAAGAGAAAAAGAGCAATAGACTATTTACCTATCAAAATATATCTGGGTAATCAAAAATTAGCAAACCAAACACACCATTAGAAATGGAAACATGACAACACAAAGACATAGATTAAAGCCTGGTTTGATGTGATGATATTTTGTGAGATTTTCAAATGATATCACTTGTTATGATTATTAGCAAGAAAAAGAAGAAAATATTCATGAATCATTATGTTCAATGTCTGAACTGACTAGGATGAGGTGGGAAGGGGAAAGTCAGGAGAAGAATTTAAGGAAAAATACGCTTTCTCTTCTTTATATTATGCTTTATGGTAGAGGAATAAATGAACTTATAGAAAAACCAGTGTTTTTTTTTTTCTCTGTACTCTGAACCCTGACAGCAGAATATAATGAGAAGGATAACACAGTATAGTCAGGAATTTTCCTAAATGAAGTGTCCAGAAGAAGCTTTGTAGATTTATGAATGCTTAAAACATAAATGAGGAAATGAAATATCCAACAGAAAGAAAAGTCAAGAAATACGATAATGGTTTGGCTTTTTGATTCAATAATTTCTAAGTTTCTCCTTAATTCTATGCATTTGCAAATTACTTAATCACATTAAATTTAAAACATAGAAATGCAACAAAATCAAATGCAGTGATCTGACTATTTTGAAATGATACTTAAAACTTATCTTTTACTCTTAAAGTAACAATGACCCAGTGACTTAGTTATTTATTCTTTTGCCTACTTTAATTTGGTTTTGTATTGAATTGCCATTACCACTACCACCAGATTGATAGCACTATCAATTATTATCAGTTTTCAATTATTATTTCTAAACTTCTTACCCCTGGCACTTAGCTTTATACCTCAGTGGGCATTCAATAATCATTGTATGAACAACTGAATGCAGAAAAGGTTTACTACTGTGATACCAAAAGCTTTCCAAAGGAGTTTCTCTTGTCCTAGCACAACACATATGGCAAAATCCTTTGCTCCACATAATCGTAGTTTTCATTCATTATTTACTAGATGAATCAATAACAACTCAATAATGAACTCAATAAGTGAAATTCATATGATAAGATCAAAGCAATCATTCCTCTGTGACTTCTTTCAGGGAAAATATTGATTTAATGTTTGAGGTTATCCCAGAGAGGGCACATCAAGTCACACTCTGAACAAGTGAAGTCCCACTAATTCTTCTGTTTACTCAACCTTGCTTAGGAATTCTGTCACGTTAAGAACTCCCTTTATGCTCTTAGACTAAAATCCTCCCTTTTACTGAGATTAGTCTCCCTTCCTTCTGAGCAGGCAACTCAGCGCACACCCATTTAAGCCTATGGGGGAATTAGTGAGCTATGTTATTTCAAATAATTAGTTAACTTCAGTTTTTATGTTCTGTGAGGGAAATTCTCATGTGATTACACATCCCTAGTATAAGAAGAAAATGAACCAGATGTACGAATGCTCATAAAGAATTCTCCCTCTGCTGACCCAGCACTGTCATCACAGCACAATCACACGTTGTTGCACTCAGCTTGCAGAGTGCATCTGTGCAGTGCTGGCAGGACACCTTTGCTCCCCATGGAGGTCCACGCTGTGAGTACGTGCAAAAGTGCAGCAGGCCACAGGAGGCTCAGCCTGGATGGGTTGAAAAGGACATCTGTGCTAATGACTAAACCTCATGCCTTTGCATTTGCTTCCCAAGCTGATGGGAGAGCAAAGGAAAGAGAGGAGGGGAATGGGGAACTGGCTTTACATTTGAAACTAAATAATCCTTAGAGCCCTGTAAATCCCTGTTAAAGATCAACATTCATTTGTTTATATAAAAAAATATTCCTAGCATGAACCCCATCAATCTGTCAGAAAGTAAACAGAGTACTGCAGTGCTATTAGTTGTACCGAGTGGTAGAAATATTAAGAAATTATAGGAAAAGTGATAAGTAGAAAGCTGGAACCATTTAGGGGCTGCAGGACAGGAGAAACCCTACAAGTAAGGAATGTTTGAGGATTTTTGCTTGCTTATCATTCTCTAATTTTCCTCATTCCTGTGTAGCATACCCTAAAAGGGGGCTTAGCAAAGGTCTTAATGAGGTCAATTCAAAGAATGTTTCAAAGGCCCAGGTCCTGAATTTTGGTGGAGTGGGTTGCCATGGGCCTGTCCCTTTAGTAAGCCAGGGGGAAGCATACAGCTGTGTGAGGACACCTGGCAATCAGTGGATCTTGTCACAAGATTTTAGGGCCCGGAAGATTAATCAAGAATTTCAGTCAACATTAGGGATTGGGAAGCAGCCAAAGAGGCATCCTGTCTATAATTTATTGTCCCCAGCTGATTAAAAACAAGTCAATAAATTCTTTCAGGCTATTGTTTTAGACATGTGGAATAATAAAAATAAAAATAAAGATAAATAGGACTCAGGTGTTACAAATTGCAAATAGTTCATGCTGGTGATTTTTTTTTAAAAGTTATCATTTTCTGAAAAATTAACACTTAGTTTGGAGACCATCCATGTTTTGTTATGATATAATTCTCTTACTCTAGGAGGATTTCCATATGGTGCCAATGCAAAGTAGAGAATTGGACTTAGCTATGATTCTGGTAAGATGTCCTGTGATATTTTACCTTTTGACAGTAGAGAATATTGCTTAGTTTTCTACATTTATTTAATGTCAAATACACATACATATGAGAGTTGACTTTCATGCTCTCTATTTTTCAAGTTTGTCTTCATATCATCATTTTTATGAGTATAAACTTACCGGTGATCCTGAAAATCCCACTTCACCAGTATTTCCATTTCTACCAGGTTCACCCTTTATGGAAAACAAAAAAAAAAGCATAGAATGGTGGAAGGTATAGAGAAAGTAAAATGTTCTTCTTCAGAGATCACATGATAAATAAATTACAGAAAAAAGTCTTCTGTAGAAAGTTCATGTGCAATCGGGTGTTTTGGCAAGCACATGTAATATCAGCTACTAGGGAGGCACAGACAGGAAGATTGTGAGTTCAAGGCCAACTCCAGGCAAAGTTCATGAGACTGTCTCAAATAAAATACAAACAAAAGGGCTGGGGTGGTGGAGCATGGCTCAAAAGGAAAGTGCTTGCCTAGCAGGCTCCAGACCCTGCATTCCATCCTCAGTACCAAAATAAATAAATAAATAAATAAATAAAGTTTTCATTTATAATATTCTAAACAGAGAAACAGTGTAACAACAACAAATACCTAGGCTTTCCTTATGATAGCAATTCATTCTGTTTGTGAAGCTTTAGTTAATTTATCCAGAAGAAGTAGATATAAATTATCCTGGTCTGCTGGTAAAGATTAACCAATTTGGGTTGTAATACACATGTGCATGAAAGCAATGCTAGGAATCTCTCTGTATAGCTATTTTTATCTCAATTAGCAAAAACGCAATGTCTTTCTTATTGTTGCTTATGTCTTCTCTTCAACAAATTGGAGAAGAGACTAAAACAGGTTCTGCCTGGAAGTGAGGGAGGTGGGAGGGAGGGGAGGGAGTGGGACAGGGGAGAGATGACTCAAATGTATGCACAAATGAATAGGTGAATAAACAATAAAAATAAAATAAATTATCCAGGTCTGATCTAGCTCAACATCTTTATGAACATCAAAATTTATACACATAGGACTGGGAATACAGCTCAGAAGTAGAGTGTCTGCCTAGCATGTACAAGGCCATAGGTATGTCAAATCCCTGGCACTAAAAAGAAAAGAGAGAGAGAGAGAGAAGTGTATTATAAAGTTTTGATTTGTCTTGGAGAGCCTGGCATGGTGGTGCAAACCTGTAATCTCAGCACTCAGAAGGCTGAGGCAGGAAGTTCTTGGGGTCGAGACCTGGACTACATACTGAGACCCTGACGCAAAAAACAAACAAAAACTTATAAACATGAATACACATAAATGCTATGAAATTCCATATAATGTGACACTGAATCAAAAATTGTTTCAACTACTACTTACCATTTCTTTTCTTGTGACAAAAATTAATAATGATAACTACCCAAAATATTTCTCTATGGCTAAATTCTGTGCAATCCATTTGAGTGACTATCATGACTCACAAAAGCAAAATGCTATGTCTACTTGGTTTACTGTCATATGTATCTAATGGCCTGCCATAATTTTATGCTCAATTTTGTTACAACTAAGAAAATAATGTAGAAAATAAAATAAGTTGTTGGGCACTGTTCTTTGATTGCATGTTATTAATGCCAAAATCTGTAGCTGAATCTTAACTTTAACTAAAAATATAGTTGATTAAATTACTTTTTCAGCATTGGGGAACCATATTGACACTGTACTACTAAGACAATTTTAAAATTCCATTTAATTAAGACGTAATAATGATGTATTCCATCATAGCCTTTTTTTCTTTCAGATCATTTCAGTGAACCATCAAAGTTGTATGTATTGGGACAATTCTAGTATCTTATGGATAAATTTTAATGAAAATAATGGGAATTTCAGAAGAAATATTAATATATATGGTAAAGTTCAGAATGCTTTTGTATTTTTGTTAAATTTATCTTTAGTGCTCCAGTTTAGACTGAATTCAATAGAAACTAGAAGGGTGAGGAAAGTGAATGGGGAATTAATGCATAACATTGGTGCTAACATTCTAGATCCTTCTTAGCATCTTCAAAACTTCAAAGCAAAATGAAACAAAGAAACTTACATCTTCACCAGGCTTCCCAGGAGGGCCCTCTGGTCCACGTGCACCAATTGGGCCCTAATGATAAAACAAGACATAATATAACCCAAACTATTGATAATGAAAAATGTTAGAGAAAATAGGCTTTTTAACATTTTGAATTTTAGGTTGTATCCCTCAGATCATGTGCTCAACAGAAGATAACCTGTTTAATTGCACAAATACATCTATCTCTGTACTGTCTACTAACCATATTCAAAGCCTTTAAAATTAAATAGTCTGACATAGGGAACATATGACTTAAAGATAGTCCACAATACAGGACTCTCAATCTCAATTGTCATGTTTTCCTACATAAAGAAGACCTCGGAAAATAAATAACTTATGACATCATTTTAAGGGTGGACCTGTATTTAACTCGATCTACATGCTTACTTGACATTTACCATTGGTCCAGGTTCACCAGGTTCACCAGGAGGTCCTGCTGGTCCTATGCCACCCTAAAATCAAGGACAAAGGACGTATTTAAACCAAAGGAAAATAGAATGACAAATCCTATAGCCTCTGCAATATATAGTATGGCGGTTCAAATTGCTAGCTCTGCCACTTTGCAGTTCTATGCCTTTGGGCAAGTTTCTTAATTTGTTTATAACTCTCTTTCCTAGTCTATCAAAGAAGAGTTAAAGTATATAATTCTTTAGGCTGTGTAGATAATAAATTAAAACTTAGCATAGTGCTAGCACAGAGTGAGTGCTCAGTCAGTGCTAGTCAGCAGTAGCATTAGCACCTTCACCACCATCAACATCAGCCCCTTTCTATTCCCCAATGTCTTGAAGTGAAATTCCTCACTTTTGGGGATGACAATGTGGTAGCCTTGATTGAGGTAAAGATTCTTTTCTTTTCGTTCTCCTGAAGAATTATTTCTAATGCCTGTTAAATCACTACAAAAAATAAAATAGCTCTGCAACACAATTTTACTGGTGCTTGACAGGCACAGAAAGAAAAGATATAGTATTGTGTTCTTTTTAAAGACTCCATGGCATTATCACCTTGACTTTTATTTATAATGATACCATATAGTGATGGCATTTTATGATCTAATTTCATAGTCTCAGATTTGGCACATAATTAATTATGAAAATTTTTATAATGACAGCAGATAACAGTCTGCTATTTCAGAAGCAAACATACAATTCCAGGTATTAGAGGTCGTTCACATAGAGAAATTATATAAAATTGTATCACCATGAAGAAACTTTGAAATGAATACTGCATATATTTCTAAGTGAATGAGAATTATTTAATGCAGTCCATTTGAACTGAGCATTATAATTATGTAATGGAAAAAGTGGTCATGTCACCTAGACCATATTTGTACTGTTATTTTCTTGGATACAGTATATGATTTAATTATTAAAACACTTACTTGCTGTCCTTGTAAACCTTGAGGTCCCCTTGGGCCAACAGGACCCTTAAAAACAAATGAGAAGAAAAGTTTCATAGTATTCAAGATGATTCATATTTTTTAACTGTTGAATCAGCGTTAAAATCTGGAAAAATGAAGCCTTGATGGGGGGATGATGACATCTCCATCTGTACTCATCTGGAAGGCAGATACATCCAGGGAGGTTAAAGCTTGGAGAACAGTTGGGATGACTTTGTTCATACCCTCATTATCATAAAGAGAAATAAACAGGATGCCTGTACACACCTAATGTCTTTAGGACAAGAACACGTGCATGTTCAAGGGTGGTTCCGTTAAACAAAAGCATCTGAAGAAAGGAAAGTCTTGGCAGGCATAAAGTCATTATCACACAGCCTGATAATGCTTTAGTTTTATAGCAGACAGGCTTAAATGATCCTATGAACTTTCAATGAATCAAAAGCTTATGAAACTAACAATGTTGACTAGATTACTTTAATATCAGTTTAAAATTATCTGAGGCACTGAGGTTTCTGGGTTATTTCTTTCACAACATATTTTAAAGTAATCAGTCTAGGCTTTTCTTATTTAAATATGAAATAAGTGGAAATGCAAAATTTAATAATATGTAATACTATATGTGACAATACAATTTTTTTAAATGTCAGCCTTGATGAAGTAATATTGATTTAACTAAAATCAAGTTTATTTTTATGACAAAAATAATTTATTTTGAATTAGTAAGAAAATAAAAGAACACTTAAAAATAATAATCATTGAATGATACATTACTAGTAATTTTTAAATTATATATAATATATATAATATTTTAGTATATTAATATTAATATAATGTATTATAATATAACATAATATTAATACATGTAATAATAATTATATGTATATATGTGAGCAGGGAGCAGTGGTTCAAATCTGTAATCCTAGCTACTCAGAAGATCGAGATCAGGAGGATCATATTTCAAGACCAAGCTGGGCAAAAAGTTTATGAGAGCCAAACTAGACCAATGGTGGGTGCAGCAATGCATGCCTTGTTATTTATGCAGGAAGCATAAACAGGAAGATTGCAATCCAAGACCCTACTTCAAAAATAACCAAAGTAAAAAGGACTGGTTCAAGTACTACAGCACCTGCCAAACAAGTACAAAGTCCTGCATTCAACTCCCCATACCACCAAAAAAACTTTTTCAAGGTGTTCACAATGCTGGCCTTAACAATGAGTAGAGGGGTGTTTTCTATGAGGCCTGACTTCACTTCATATTGGCCAAAATTCCACTAATCTGGAATGATTTTGAGTATATTATGATCAAAAAAGCCTAGGAGAGTTGTTTTGAAAAGTGTTAATTCATTCAATGAGATTGCATTGGTCCAAATACAAATTCCCAGGTTAAATGACTTGCCCTGAGAAAATGGGAATCTTTCTTGACAAAATTCAAAAGAGGATATGGACAATGAGAAGGCCCAGCCAGAGAACCTCAGAGTTGTTGGAATAAGAAAGACAGAGAATATTAAGATAAGTAGGAAATAATAAAAATGGAAATATCAAAATATCTCTCATCTCAAAATATTGACAAATCAGTATTTCTAATGTCATCATAAAACAGGGCTTTTTTTAATTACTAAGGAACAAATTTTGTTGCATGATCTTCTTCAAGGATTAAGTGAAATATGCACACACCTTTATTGTTGTCTTTGAGTTTAACGTAGTTAGTAAAAGAACACTAGTGGGCTTTTAACTCATAAGGAGTAGATTTGATAAACAAACAAAATAGATGAATGAGTGGATGGATGGAAGTGTTTAAGAAGTCATGTTATTTCTTGACTAGCTAACTCAAGCCTCTCTTTACATAACTATTTTTCTACAAGTACCTTAATTATCAGTATGCTTACCACAGAGCCAGGCATCAGCCCTACTTGACTTCCAAGTCCAGATTTTTCATCCAACCCAGCCATCTGAGCTGAAAAAGGCTGTAAATGCAATGTGTTAACATTATTTTCATAGTAAAAGATGTACATCAACATATTTTTAAAATTTAGGAATATGCACTTTCTGTAATTCTTATAGTATGACTCACCTAAGAATAATTTAAACATTTCACTTTAAAGCATGGAAAAAGATTCAAGCTATTTTTTGATTGCATAAGTTTTTGATCGATCATTCTTCCCCCAGCATTTCTGTAAGAGGGTCACTCTGATAAGTACTTAGTCTAATCGATTTCAGGTTTAAATCGCTTTATCTGATTTCCTTCCACAATTACAGTATGCCAAATATTGGAACAAAGCCTAAAAGCTGCCCTTAAAACATGTGTCCTAAAGATCCCGAGTCCCTTTCAAACTATTTTAAGTAGATGATATTCTTCTTTGTTTGTTCATGGCAAGTAAACTTTAAATTGCATTTATGTAAATTGTAAACATTTTATAACCCTTTTAATGAGTTGCTAGATGTTCAAAGAATTTGAAACAGTTTTAGCTATCCTAAAAAAATACCTCTGGCAATCAAACTGACCAAAATCATTCATCTACATTCCAGTAGTTATACTAATTTCCAGGTCTTAGTGGTAAAAAATTATGTGGATTATTTAAAAAATAAATTGGCAATTCCTTCTATAATCAGTTGAGAAACAGATGTATGTAGCCTTATAAAACAAAAATGGTATCCAGACTCCATATGGTCTCTTCTTATGCTACTAAATGTCCTACGCTGGCACAAAGTATTCAAAAGGGCAGATAGAGGCATTTTACCTTGTGTAAGAGACTGAAATTTAACTAAAATAATTAGGCAGCATCTAAGTGTTGTTACAATTTGGATATGAAGTCTCCCCCAAAAAGGCTCATGTGTTCAAAGCTGATCCCTAATGCAGTGTTCAGAAGTGGAGCTTTGGGAAAGTGATTGGACCGTTAGGCTCTGTCTTCATCAGTGAATTAATACAGTGACGGATTCATTGTTTGGTAGTATAATCGGAAGGCAGTAGAAACTTTCAGCGGTGGGATCAAGTTGGAGGAAGTAGGTCACTGTGAGGGTGTACTCTTGAGGAATATGACTGTCCCGAGCCCCTTCCTCTGTCTCTCTCTGCTTCCTGGCCACCATGAGGGAAGGAGCTTTTGTTCCACCATGCCCTTCCATCATGATGTACTGTCTCCCCACAGTCCCAGAAACGATGAAGCCAGTGTCCATGGATTGAAACCTCTGAAAATGTGAGCCAAAATAACCCTTCCTCTTTTAAACTGTGTCCCTCAGGTATTTGTCACAGCAACAAAAAGCCTCATACACATGTCTTGGGGGAAGAATGTGGTGCTGATTTTGTCAGCACTCTGAGGCTAGAGCACAGAAGAAGGCTAGAGTTGGACCTCTCCTTTAGTTCACTTGGAGCAATACTCATGGTCCTTTAGAATCAACAGAGAGAACAAAGTTTATGGAGTCCAGAATTGACACAGAGAATAACAAATCATTTGAAGCAGCTTTTTAGAAGATGTTACTTTGAATTTTTCAACAATTCACTGTGGATCTATTAGTTTTATTATTCTTCATAGCAGTACCACATTCACTTAATAGCTTTTATAGTTGAGCACCAGTTTCTGAACAGACACAGCCTGAAAATCATAGTGATAAATTAATAATTTAATATATTGCCTAAATGTGACATTAAACAGTGCCAAAAACTCACCCTGCTCATGCCATCAGGTCCTGGATGAGAGGGATGTCCAGGAGGCCCTGGAGCACCAGGTTGACCAGGAACTCCTGGTTCTCCATCAATTCCCTGAGGACCACGAGGACCCTGGAAAGACAAACCAGTGGAAATTCAAACCCACTGCCAAATATGTACTAGTAAAAACTAAAAGCACAAATTTCTTACTGGCAATGACCATTTTCCTACAAATGAGCAACAATATAACCACTTACAGTAATTTCATCAGCTACATTGAAACTTGATTTCAGCACTGGTCAAAGATAGACTAAGACCATTGGGACGTAGTCCAGGTAAGAATTCTACTTGATGTGTTAAATCCCCAGGAATCAGTTTATTTAGAATAGTTATAAAATTGTTTTCAATTCAGCAACATTCTAGATTAAGCTTCCTTATTTGCTTAAGTTTTGCTGTTTCAGGATACTTAATAATTTCTAAACTCATTGTCTGTCTTATATTACAATGTACTATGGGTCTGACTGCTTAACCTCTTTCCCACCCACCCACAACGATGAAGACCTTCAGTTGGAGTTTGTTGGTTTATTTCATCTTTCTAAATGTTTGATGCTTTACATAGTTTCTGGTACATACTAGACATTCAATACATGTGTATTGCATTTTCACATTTCAGTGTTCTTTAATTTTAGTCTGGCACATTTCATTTTCCTTCCCAGTTTAAGGGATAGACTAGACCAATGAGAAATTAGAAGCAAAGACATTATAATGCAGCCAAGTCTAGTTCTCAGCAAAATGAGCAATAATTTCTAGCTGCCAAACTCCACCCTTCTCCTAACCCACACTCCCAAGGCAGCTTGGGGAATAACCACGTCCTCAGTTCTAGAAAAGCTCAGTTCCCCAACCTCATCATCACTGGTTAAATATTTCTGGTTGTTAATCTTAAGAGATTTCATTGTTGTTTTGGGGTTTTTTTGTTTTTGGTTTCTTTTCTTTTCTTTTTTTTTTTTTCCAGTGCTGGGGTTTGAATTCGGGGTCTTGCATTTGCTAGGTAAACATACTACTACTTGAACCACACTTCCATCCCTTAAGAGAGTCATAACAAGCTTTAAAAGACAGTATTTTATCATTAAGAATGGATACTGAGAAAAATGGTGAGTTAGTGTTTAATAGTAAAAGAAACTTCTCATTCTTTAAGGATCCCAGAGGGTAGCTACTGGCCCACAGTTAGCCAATCAAACATGGTCTGAGAATAAAGGAAAGTATATGAAAAGCTGAGAAAGTAGACCAGTTTACATGAAATCACTTGACAAATGGGGATATAGTACTTATATATAAAGTTGATTAATATGTTTTAATATATTTAAACATTCATATAAGCATGTTTACTTCTTGAAGTTCTAGGATAAATAAGCAATTTATCTACTTGAATAGAAGTAGATAAACTAGCCTGAAAATGATTTCTTTGAAAACTAGTCTCACATTTTAAAACTCAAATCCCTTCTGATTCCTAAAACCCTGATATTTTGCTATGGTTTTTCATTATATAGACCAGAGTCTAATTTTAATTGCTACCAAGAACTCCTAGGTCATTCAAACTCCAATACCAGCAAAAAAAAATGAATAAAGAATTCCTGGGTCATAAGAATGCGATCACCCCTCTTCAGTGGTGGCAGAGACAAAGGAATAATCTGACTTATAGTCTTGCATGGAAAAGTCTTAATAAAAGTTACTTCAATGATAAATGATGACTAGATAGTATTACATACAAAAAGTTGAGCTAAAATATAATCTCAGCTCCCAATGACACTTTCAAAAACAAAAAATAAAAATGTTTCATGTCTATGTGAGTAGACAAAAGTTTGGGTAATATTAATCCTCAAACTAGCTTGCATATTTCTCTAATCTTCTGTGATTAACACTGTTCGTATTTCAAAGTCTGATCTGAAGACAACCCACATTTTCATTGACTTCTGGACCTATTTTTTAGCTTCATGGAATTCCCTTTAAATAGCTTACCTGGGTTAGTCTTACACAAAGAGATTAAAATTAATTAAAACTAATGAAAATTATCCAAAATTTAAGTGGCCATAAAGAAGATTGCAAGTAAGATAACAAAAATATACAAATATTTCACTAATAAATATTGAAAATAAATTAAATTTTGAAGTCATTAAAATATAATTTTACATATTCAGTTTATATGTTCCACTGAACCCTTTATCATCATTCCCTCCCATTCCCCAAGACACTACTTAGTATCTCCAGCATCAATCTATTATAACAAGTAATTGTAGATGGCCACTAGGTGGCAACCTTTAAACATCCACAAGTAGATAGTAGTGACCAAGAATTGTCAAGAACTTTATTTGCTGTTGGTTTGCAGTATCACGGCAAAAATGCCTGCGCACATGCACACACACACACACACACACATTATAGATTGTAAGATCTGATAATAACTGGTACATATCTTATTTTACAGATGAGGAAACTATAGAGGTTAAGTGTCATGTGCAATTAGAAATATTGACTGTCTTTCCTGATAGGTGGCTAAATTGTCACTACAGAGACCTGGAAAATGCACTTAAAACTGAGGACAAGTGATGACACTCATTGTGCTCACTGGCAAGAACTGAAGGTTTCACAAGAGTCTCTGTTTCAGTAGTTCTCAATCCAGAGCAATTTTTCCTGAATTTGACAATATCAAGAGACATTGTTAGTTGTCACATTTAGCTGGGTGATGTGGTTGTTACTAGCATGTAGTTAGTAGAGCTGTACTACATCCTGTTACAATGCATAAGGAATTGTCTCCTCTAAAATATCAAGTGTTAAGGTCGAAAAACTGTACTGCACATCATGAGCCTTCTGTACTGCTTGGTAGTAATGGAAGTAGTGGAAGGAAAATGGTGTTTATGATTCTAATACTACCCTACATTGGTACAACATAACCAAGCCCAGCCCTCCTAGAAAGCTGGGAGTTTTCAGCAAAACTGTCTATTATAGGTATTCTGTGGTATCATGCCACTATCTAGAAATCAGTCATAGCAGGAGTATTTACACCAAGGAAATCAGCAAAATCTACAAATAAAGAAAAAATTAAAAAGATCCAGCTGCTAAACACTTGTCATCATAACACTGTTTGTTAGTATTTAACAGAGGGATGGATTTACTACATAGGAATCTGGAAGGATTGTTTTGCTTCCACATAAATAAGTACTGTCTATTCACACACACTCACAAACACACCACACGCACACATACTGCATACACCCACACACACAAACACATCACTCACGCCACACACATACATTGCACGCATACTCACAACATACACACCACACACACACTTTCACACATAACACACACACACACACAATCCATACATACATATACTGCATTCACAAATACCACACACACACACACACACACACACACTCATACCCAATTCGGATTCTTTGTCTCAGACCTAACCAACACTGAAAGTGAACTACATCACACACTGAGTCAAATAGGAAAGAAGAGAGAGGGCACTTGCAGAGGAGATTAATCAGAATTCTGGAAGTTTGACCACTATTCCATCTGCACATAGGTTCTAGTCTTACCAATTACTTGCCTTGGAGCACTGTCATTCACCTGCATGCCTACAAATTTAATTTCCACATCCATTTCAGAAAAAGTATTGAAGTCATACTCTTGACTGGATGAAAAGTGTGGAAACATAAAATAGTAACAAAGATGAAACTAGCAACAAGAGTTCCTGGTAACACAATGTAAAATGTGCTCTGTCCTCATTTATGCATCCAAAGTTGTCTGTTGACTTCTTGCTCATCCATTTCATCCATTTAGGTATAAATAAATTCTATATATTTGGAGAATAAAACTCCACTGAATGTTAAGTTTTAATAGATGCCATTAGAGAGAAAATTAACCAGCATAAACACTTTTTCCTCATTGAAACATGGGATAATATAGTAATATACAAATTGATTCAGTTATTCCATATGTGAAAGACATTAAAGAAAAAAGAATTGTATAGCTAAGACTTAAGAATAATATATTTTCTGTACTGGTATGTAATGAGAGAAAAATTTAGTGCATATTATACAATATCCTCATATTTATCCCAAAGATAAAGAGGTGATTATTTCAATTTAAGGGTATCCACCATGTCTGGTAATTAATGTTTTTACTTTCTTATAAAATACTCTTGTGATATCTCTGTAGCAGCTGCCAAGTGAAAAAGGCAGGGTGTTACCTGGGATATATATTTGTTGTATAATCACTTGAAAGAAAATATTATCCTCTAATAAGTTATTTTCCCTTTCTCCAGTTTTGTTTTTGTTTTTTTTTTTTTTTTGAGTCTTTTTCTATAGAAACCACAGATCACAGAATTTGGGTGTTTTATCTGAACAGTAGATTTTTTGCATTGCTTGTTCCTGAATGACAACTTCTGAAAACAACATGATGTAAGAGGCAGTTATTAGCATGCTTGTATTTCCTCTGGATTAGGAGAGCTTCATAATCACTTTGTGATCAGAATTCTCTATAGCAGCTAAGGTAGGTGCCAGAGGAGCAGTGCCTCTGGGTCCTCGCCACACTCAGGGAACATGGTGCAAACTGGCTTGCTGGGTACACGGTGACAAAAAGGTCACTCCATCATCCCCCACCTTCAACTTACAGGTCTTCCTTTTGGGCCTCGCTCTCCTCTTGGTCCTTGAGATCCTGGAGGTCCCTAAAACAGAAAATGACAACTATGCCTGAAAACAATAATACTTTGGATGTTTTAAAAATTTGTTTAATAAAGTAGAAATATTCTAATTTTAAATCCAGTGCAATTGATAAAAGTTATCTATTCAAAGAGGGGTTGCTCATCTTAGCAGAGGAGGTTGAAGGCTTGCAAAGAATGAGATACCACATCCTAGCATCACAGAGTTCAATGAGTCAATATCAGTTTGACTAACAACTGCAAAATTTTTAAGGATCATTTCAGCTATCTTGTGAGCACAAAAAATTTGAGTTGAGATTTGGAGGAGTATTTAAGTGTGCAATCCCAAATTGTCAATGATCCAGGGGAACAAGTTCAGATTGGTACATAATACCCCAAACTACGCATTGCTGTGCTAGCTGCTGATGAAAGCAATGGAAGGAAAAGCCTGTCAGCCTATAGTGGGTTATATGCACCGAGCGATCATTTCTACTTGCCCTAAAATATTGCATCATTTCCACTATACAAAACTCACGATTTTTCAAATCATTCATTGCCATAATTTCTCCTTTAAAAATAACAAATGACCACTACACTTCTAACGTGGTGTTACTGTATTGATATCTGAAAACATCCCCCCCACCCCTGAGAAATGAAAGTTGCAAGGGAGTTTATTTCTCTTCAAAAGAGAATTTTAATTGAGTCATGAAGATTAGATTGCATATTTACCCAACTCAACACATATCATTTGACTATTGTTTTACTTTATTTTTAAAGAAACTCCTAAGTTCAAGAACTTCTTCAATTAGCTCCTGAGAAGCTGGAACTATAGGTGCACACACCATGCCTGGATCAACAGTGCTGTATAAAAGCAAAAAATTCTGGAGGATTAAAGTAGATCTATTAAGCTGTACTAACATCTACCGAAGTTGATTTGATGTGTTTTAAAACTTACATGAAGACCTAGCATTGGGGATCATACCTGTAATCCCAACTATTTGTGAGGTAGAGATCAAGAGTATCATGGTTTGAGGCCAGCCCAGAAAAAAGTTAGATTCAGGGATGGCAAAGTGGCTCAAGTGGTAAAGTACCTGCTTAGCAAGCGTGGGGTCCTGAGGTCAGACCTCAGTACCAACAACAATAACAACAAAAAAGGTTAGGTTCACTTAATATCAGTAAACAAACTAGGAGTGGTGGCATACATCTGTAATTCCAGCTACACAGGAGGTTGAGGTAAAGGATCTAGGTCTGAGGCCAGCCCCAGGCAAAAACAGATGACCCTATCCCAAAAAATAACTAAAGCAAAAACGGGTTGAAATGCAGCTCAAGTGATAGAGCACCTGTCAGCCCTGAGTTCAAACCCCACTACCACCAAGAAAAAATTTAAAAACATAAAATTCACATGAAGTATGTGTATATATGTGTACATGCTATCCATATAGCTGCATACAAATGTTACTGATAATCCAAACCCGAAATAGTTTTTATGCAAAATCTGAAATATTCTATTCTAACATATAACTTCTCAATTTCTGTTGTAATAATGCTGTAAATGACCCCTAATCATAGTCAGACAAATATGTGCAATTTTCAATGAACAAGATCAATCTAAATGTACCATTGTAACCATAGGTTGGCTTTCACATAATTAATGGCAACACTAGAATGTGAAGAAAAATACAGTTTACTGATTTCCAAATGAAATGATCACAATGTACTGTTCACTGCTACAAAGATATGCCTGAACTTGAAGACTGTCTGAGGCAAAATGATTTTAAAAACTAAGTATCTTTCTTTTACATTCTGTTGTCTTCTAACAGGTATACCATGTCTATGAAAATTTTCAGTATCACAGAGAACGAAATAGCATCAAAAACACTGGAGGAAAGTACTTACTGCTGGTCCAGGACGACCACGTATGCCTGTTACCTAAACAACAAACAAAAAAGTTTGTAAAAGTAAAGTTTCCACAGAAATTCAGGAGAGTCAATGGTCAAATGCATAAGAATAACAACAAATGCACGAAAGTAGCAGCGCAGTTTTCTAAACACATGAATGTCATGGATTATGCCATTTCCTCTATGCTGTATGAATGAGGACATTACCTAAGTTCAACTCTAAAGAGGCAGTGCTAGCAGAGTGATTAAGTCATCAATGCCGAAGGCTAAGAGTCCTAGGTTCAATTCCTGGCACTACCAACATAAACGTTAGAAATATAGAACATTAGGTATTGTATTAAATACTTAATCTGTTTTGTTTGGCTTATGTTATACTATAAACTTAGTAATTTCCTTTTTCTGAGAGAGCAATAACACACAACTACACTACAATTATGTTTGAAAACAGTGTGTACACATGTACTTACAACAGGCACTAGTCCTGGTTCTCCTTTTTGTCCCTATGAAGTAAAAAAAAAAACAGTTAGTAAAGTATAAAAGTTTGGTGGGAATGAACATGTCACACTAAACTAGGCCATATAAACACTGGGAATTTCTAGGAAATAGAAAAATGAAAAAAAAAGAAAGTTAATTGCTTATTAGGACTTTTAGTCAGATATTATTCATGAAAAAAATCTCTAGTCAATCTGATGGGCATGAAAAACATCAACATGTAGAATATGTAAAGTCGTTTCATTTCAGTTTATATAGGTATCAAATACAAACAGATGACTACAACAAGAAGTCGTTGTGATAAAAGAATATAAAGAAAAAGTGCCTTTGAAAAACCACTCAAAGATGTAAAATAAAGAAATTTCAAAGCTGTATATTTGAATTTCACATTCTTAATGAATGACATAGTTTTTAATGACTTAGGAGATGTCATTCCTGAACCACTAATTTCCCTTTTATAGAACTAACAGAAAAAATATTAAATACAATAAAAAATAAGTATGCTCATTTTATAAAAAAAAGTGACATAATTGTCATTATGTAGTTCTCAATATCTGAGACAAATGTTGGAAGAAATCAATTGAAAAGGCAAAGAAAATACAGCATGAGACTATCATAATTTAAAGTACAAAAAATCAAGTCAGTTTATTTTCTTCCACAACAGATGTGGCAAACACAATAGATGTAGATGAAATTTCTTTTCATCCTATGAACTTGGGATTTTCAAAATTCGTATACTTGTGGCCTGATATCAAGTACATAGGTTAAATAACATTAGATGGTTTACACCTTTATGTACTTCTGTTTTGTCACACACTATTTACATTCTCTATTTCAGGATTTGTCTTCCAACAGATTTGTCCTCCTCCAAGCCATCATTATGTCTCAGCCTACTTGGCATCTTCAGTGTGGCACACAGAAATCCACAATAAGCTATTCTAGGCTGGTGGCATGGCTCAAGTGATCTGGCACCTGCCTAGCAAGCATGAGGTCTTGAGTTCAAACCCCAGTACCCCCCAAAAAAGAATTTCTCAATAAATTCTTGATATACTAATTTCCATTAGCATATTATGAAATAATGTCTTTTATTAGACAATTGGGAATAATGAATACAAATTCAACAGTCATATCCAAAATGTAGGGAAAGTAAGGGGAAATAGTTTTAGTCCATTTATCATCTCCTTTCTCATATACTATACATTTATCTAAATATAAAATATGTTCTCATTGTAGGAAATTTGGAAATATACAGAAGAAACTGAACATCCTACTCAACACCCAGGATATAACCACAATTAACATTCTACATTCTTAGTTTTCCAGATAAATGTGCACTTTGATTTATCTAAATAATGCTTCATTATTTTACACTTAGATTTTGGTCTCATTTTTGTATTCTAAAAAACATCTCAATGCATGTACTTGTTTATTAATGTTTTGTGCTACATGTCTAATGACTTAGGATATGTTTCTAGAAATTAAATATGTGAATTAAAAATCATATATATTTTAAACTTTTTGATCTATGTCATCAAATTGAACCACTGAAAGGCACAATTTAATTATATCTTTCCAATAGCATCTCACAACTCAAAATATTTTGTAAAGAAAAATTAAGAATTATTTTATAATCTTGATAATCTTCATGATGGATTCAATGTCTAAACTAACAATAACCTGATGACAGCTGCTGATTCTAATACATAGTTTCCATCCTGCAAGTCAGTAATAAACTGAGAATTCAGTAGAGGAAATGGCTTTACAAAAGCAGGATACAGTTCTATCTGCGGAGTTAAGTTCAGGACAGTAATACAAGATACTAAGAGAAAATTCACATAAGGCTAGGAGAGGATGGTGAGCTTACAAAAAAAAAAAAAAACCAGGTGTAGTCCTACATTGCTACATCTGTTATCTTCTAGACAGTTTCCATTTCAAAACCAAAACAGTGATAAAAATTAACCTTGTGAAAGCAGTAACAGAAGAGATATCTTCAACATGGTTAATTTTAATTGCTTGGAAAGCATATGTATATTTGTGCCCAATAAAAGAGGAACTTTATGAGAATGATACTAATGAAAAAAATTGCTCCTTCTGAAATAAGTCTAGAAAATAGGTAAGAAGAGAGGAGATATTTTTTCAGTAAAAATGAGAAAGATAGAATTGTCCGATAAGAATAATTGTGAAATTTTTAAGAGATACACAGGTAAATGTAGATTTAACTCTTTGCATTTAGGGGAATGGTATTGTCTGATATCTTTCTTAACCAAATTGTAGGGGATTGATATCTTACATAAGCATTGTGTTGATTCATAATATTTGATGAGATAATTATCTATCAATTTCTGAGTTCCTGATAACAAATCTCCTAATGCTCCCATGATACATCTGTATTTTAAGTCACAGGTGTTAATATTTGTTTCTACTACTTTATTAATATGGGATTTAATGAACTTAATTTTCATATTCATGAAGAATATAACATCCACATGCTCATATTTTGGGTGAGACTAAATTTATTCATCAACTAATGCCAGGTTGATATGCCTCACCAACTTTAGAAGATGTCATTACCAAGGAGGCAACCACATTGATTTCCCTACCTCTGTGTCATCTGTATCATTTGCCTCATACAAAGATCTTATTTTTAAAAGGTCCAATAATTGTTTAGGGGTTAACATGAATTAATTAATTATTACCTTAGTTAATTATAAGTAAAAAAATCAATGTGGATTTAACCAAAAACAAAATGAAAGATCTCTCGTGCTCATGGATCGGTAGAATCAACATAGTAAAAATGGCTATACTACCAAAAGCAATCTACATGGTTTGTTTTTTTTTTTTTTTCTGAATCTGGTTTATTGATTTTTTTTATTGTTTTATTACTCATATGTGCATACAATGCTTGGGTCATTTCTTCCCCCTGCCCCCACCCCCTCCCTTACCACCCACTTTGCCCCCTCCCTCTCCCCCCCACCCCCTCAATACCCAGCAGAAACTATTTTCCCCTTATTTCTAATTTTGTTGAAGAGAGAGTATAAGCAATAATAGGAAGGAACAAGTGTTTATGCTAGTTGAGATAAGGATAGCTATACAGGGAGTTGACTCACATTAATTTCCTATGTGTGTGTATTACCTTCTAGGTTAATTCTTTTTGATCTAACCTTTTCTCTAGTTGCTGGTCCCCTTTTCCTATTGGCCTCAGTTGCTTTTAAGGTATTTGCTTTAGTTTCTCTGTGTTAAGGGCAACAAATGCTAGCTAATTTTTTAGGTGTCTTACCTATCCTCACACCTCCCTGTGTGCTCTCGCTTTTATCATGTGCTCAAAGTCCAATCCCCTTGTTGTGTCTGCCCTTGAGCTAATGTCCGCACATGAGGGAGAACATATGATTTTTGGTCTTTTGGGCCAGGCTAACCTCACTCAGAATGGTGCTCTCCAATTCCATCCATTTACCAGCAAATGATAACATATCGTTCTTCTTCATGGCTTCATAAAATTCCATTGTGTATAGATACCAAATTTTCTTGATCCATTCATCAGTAGTGGGGCATCTTGGCTATTTCCATAATTTGGCTATTGTGAATAGTGTTGCAATACACATGGGTGTGCAAGTACCTCTGGAGTAACCTGTGTCACAGTCTTTTAGGCATATCCCCAAGAGTGGTAGCAATCTACATGTTTAATGCTATTCCCATCAAAATCCCAATGACTTTCATCACAGAGATTGAAAAATCTATCCTAAAGTTCATTTGGAAACACAAGAGACTGCGAATAGCCAAGGCAATATTCAGCAAAAAGAGCAATGCTGGAGGTATCACAATACCTGACTTCAAACTATATTACAAAGCAATAGCAATAAAAACAGCATGGTACTGGCACAAAAACAGACATGAAGACCAGTGGAACAGAATAGAGGACTTGGATATGAATCCACACAACTATACCAACCTCATTTTTGACAAAGGTGCCAAAAATATATGATGGAGAAAAGACAGCCTCTTCAACAAATGTTGGTGGGAAAAGTAGTTACCCATCTGCAAGAAACTGAAAGTAGATCCGTGTCTCTCACTTTGTACTAGTATCAACTCAAAATGGATCAAGGACCTAAATATCAGACCTGAAACTCTGAAGTTACTATAAGAAGGAGTAGGAAACACTCTGGAACTAATAGGTATAGGCAAAGACTTCCTCAATAGAACCCCAGCAACCTCGCAACTAAGAGAAAGGATGGACAAATGGGACTTCATAAAACTAAAAAGCTTCTGCACAACAAAAGAAATGGTCTCTAAACTGAAGAGACCACCCACAGAGTGAGAGAAAATATTTGCCAGCTACACATCAGACAAGGAACTGATAACCAGAATATACAGGGAACTTAAGAAACTAAACTCTCCTAAAATCAATGAACCAATTAAGAAGTGGGCAACTGATCTAAACAGAACTTTCTCAAAAGAAGAAATTCAAATGGCCAAAAAAACACATGAAAAAATGCTCACCATCTCTAGCCATAAAGGAAATGCAAATCAAAACCACA